GGCAAATTATTGAATAACCCTGCATGGCAGCTAGTTTTGATGATAAAGCAAAAAGAAGCAAGGTCTCTGCTCCCTGGAGCTCACAGTTTAAAGGAGAGAAAGATATAATCAAAGAGCCACACAGAGGAGAATGTGTAATTACAGACTGGGGGGTGGTCATGAAAGCACGTGCTTTCATGGCTCACACCTGCAGCATCAGCAGCATCTGGGAACTTCATGAAATGCAAATTTTGGGGCCCACCACAAATCTATTGAATCAGAAACTCAGGAGTAGGACTCACCAATCTGTACTTTAACAAAACTTCTAGGTAATTCTGAACCTCTGACATAAGCCAAAGGAATCTGACTTAGATAGAGGAAGCTATATGGAACTTAGAGCTGAAAGATGAGTGGAAGGTACGTAAGTAGTGAGAAGAACATGTGAAATTGTCCTGTGGTGGGAGGAAGCCCAGTATTAAGGACCCAAGACAAGAGCAAGTGAATGTATGTAGGTTCTGCAGGTGTATGTAGGTTCTGCAGGCTGGGGAAAGGAGTAGACATGATTCTTTAGAGCAAAGGGAAGCCACTGAAGAGCAGGGTGACTTGATCAGAATTCCATTTCAATAGTTATTTGTTCAGATTCAGGACAGGACTGGAGCTGTGATATTAGGATTGGAAATCAGGGAGTAGACCCCAGGAAACTTCAAAGTACAATCAGCAGGACTTAGGGATTCTGATGTGAGAGGACAGGAGAGAGCTGCTGTGGACAGCAGGCTATGCCCTGCTCTGAGTTACTCCACAACTTATGGAACAGCAGTTTTCAGGCTGTGCCTAAACCTCAGTGACTCCACTTTGTAAAGCAGTCGTTTGCCGTGAGCTTAAGTGCCAAGGGGGAAGGACTCCACACCTTGTTTGTATAAGTAGACAACCACCATCTGCCTGGCACAACCAGAGGCATAAAGCAATAAATAAGTTAATTGTGCTAATAGAATGACCTAGTGAGTTATCAGAAGTACAGGGATGCATGGGCGTGTCAAACTCATATTGGAAAAAAACAGGCTCCCGAGCTTTTTGAACACACCAGACCACCAAAGGTAGGAACCCCTTCACCCGAGGCCCATAAAAAAGGAGAAGCACCCCAAGACTGGACACCCCATCTTCTGGTCATCAGGAAAATCACAGTGATGAACCTCTGAATCTCTGCCCTTGGTCTCTAGCAGAGTGTGGTTCCTTCTGCCTGTGACCACGCGTGGCCCACTCCAAACTGACTTGGAAACTGCCACCTGGTCTGTCCAGACCTTGGCCTGGAATAACTTCCTAAGCTTCGACTGCTTTGAACCAGCTTTTGGCTGCTCCTAATCTTATCTGACTACCTAGGGACTCTTTGCCTTGTATCTGCTCTCTGCCTTCTGAACCCTGTGGCTCCCTTGACCCTCTCTTAGCCTTTCTGTATCCCACCCACATCACTGTGTGAGGTGTGGGTGACTTGAGTGTTACAGATGTTAGAAATTAAGATGGGAATAAAAGAACTTGTGATTGCCAGGCTTATGAACCAGGTGACCCACAAGGATTCAGTGAACTGCCCCTTGTGGAAATGGTGTAGCTTGTCAATGTGCTGTCATTCAATGAATAGTGACATTGTGGAAAAACACAAATGTGTCTGGTCTGTGTTGATGACAGCTGCTTTGGGACACCTGTGACCTTGAGCTCTGCAGAAGGGCCAGGCTAGGGGGGTAATGTGAAGCACCTCTGGGGTACAAGAGGCACCAGCGTGGGCCTGGTGCAGGTTGGGGACAGGCTGGGGACACCAATGGAGTCACATCCAGAGACTGAATCCTCTGGGCCTAGCTGTTGAGTGAGTGTGGTAAACGTTACTTAAGCCAGTCACCCCCGGCTGTGCCCTCTCCCCTTTATATGTAGCCACTGTAGCACTCCATGCCTGAGTCTCCCCTGGAGCTCCTCGGCCACTGCTATAAAACTAAGTATGACATCTGACAACACAAGTCCTACGGGACTCTACTTAACATATTGGTCTCAGTTGCCAGCTCTGTACACCAAGCCTCCCTGCCCCTTGGTAACCTGAAAGCCACTTCGCCGACAGAGTCCTATTTCTTAGAGATTGCTCTCTCAAGAGTTCCTGAACATAACGGCAACCCGGCCTGGGGGGCAGCCCGGCACAGAGAAGGCCCTGGGTTCCATCCCCAGCATGAGAAAAAGAGAATGAAAAAACTTGAGTCATTTCCTGCCTGATCTTTGTTGGTTTTTCAGTTTTCTAACGGTGCCTGACACCTGCGCTCCCCCATGCAAGAGGAGCAGTTTTACCACAGATGGCCCCGTGCTTCACCCTGAGGACCTCACAGCCTGGCTAGCAGCCCTGCTGTGCGTGAGTGGAAAGAACTATCACTTGGAACTCAGTGGCCCCTCCTGCACCCTGCCATGTACCCCTCTCGTTCTAAATTATGAGTTCAGGCCCTGCCAGAGAGGCCTCTGGGTAGAACCAGAGAAGAAAAATGGAAGCCCAGATGTACAGGCACAATTACTACTCCAAAAGGATTTTTTAAAAATAAGGATTCCTTGATTTTACTCTCGATAGCTGTCATTTGATGAGAAATTGCAAACTACAAAGGGCCACCCAGGTTCTTCTGTCCCCTCCTTGCCGTTTATAAAAGCCATCTCCTTTTCCACGTGTGCACAGTTTACTTCCCTAGAGCAGCCGACTGCCCCAGTGGCCCAGCGTCTGCTGTGCCCCCACTGCCCTGTCCAGCCTGAAACTCCTGATACTGCAGTGGCACTGTACCAGCCCCAAACTGCCTTACCCGAAGAGAATCTCAGAGAGAAAACTGAGGCAGAAAGCAGAAAGGGCTGTGCTAGTCTCAAGTCACCAGAGAACTGGTCTCAAGGTGACTATGTTTTCCAAAAGAGGAACAGAGATTTCTAAAAACTAGTTCAAAGGCTCCTACCACACAACTTTCTCAGCTTGACAGGGCAGCACATTTCTGTTCAGGAACACCTGGAACACTGATTCTTAAACTTTCGTGTGAGTAAAAATCACCAGGAAAGCTTTCTATAATACAGATTCCTGGGCCCTGTCCCCAGAGATCTGGATTGGCAGGTGTGAAGTGGGCAGGACCTTCTTCCTGGCTCAACTGCCCGCCACACAACACACTTGGATTAGCATAGACTATATACTCATGGCCCCTTACCTCTGGCTTAGCTGGGGTGAAGTAGAGAGGTGGGCTGTGGGCCTCACCCAGGTTCTAGGCCAGCAGGGTACCTCCTGCATCTTTGGCAGCAACCTTCTAGGGTCAGTCTAGTCACTTCTACCAACTGGAAGGATTTTCCTTTGGAGCCAGTGAGGGGAAATTTGCACACATCGCTTTGTTTCTCTAACAAAATACTAACCCTGCCGGGCATGATGGCACACACCTGTAATCCCAGCAGCTCGGGAGGCTGAGATAGGAGAATTGCAAGTTCAAAGCCAGCCCCAGCAAAAAGTGAGGCACTAAGCAACTCAGTGAGACTCTGTCTCTAAATAAAATACAGAAAATAGGACGGGAGATGTGGCTCAGGGGTTAAGTGCCCCTGAGTTCAATCTCTGGTACCCCCCACCAAAAAAAGAAAGAAAGAAAAGAAACTAACCCTAGCTACAAGGGAGGCTAGAAAATGCAGCCCTGCTCAGGGCCACCTGCCCAGCCACACTCTGAGCATGGGAGAACCTTCAAGATGGCCGCCAGCAACAGAGGAGGGTTCCGATGAGCACGTGGAGGGTCAGTCCTGGCAGGTGTGGCCTACGTCAGTTGGAACTTAGGTGACTCATGGAGATAGCCAAAGTGCTAGGTGGAGCAAGGTACAAAGGAAATGGGCTCTGGGATTGGAGGCCCAGATGCATCCACGCAAGTTGTGACTTCGAGCTGTGTGACCTGGAACAAGTTGCAAAATATCTCTGAGCCAAGGCCACCTCCTCTGTAAACTGTGACAATTACATGGGATAGGGTCTACAGGGGGCACCCAACCAATGGCAGGAATTCAGTCACCACAGGGTGCCTCAGGTTGATTGCAGACCAGATTAGGACATTAGTGTGGGTACAGGCTATGTTGAGCTTTATTGTCAACGAAAGGGATCCTCTTAGCCAATTCTTAATTCCCACCTGGCAAGTGAGATGGGAAAAGAAGATGTGGGATGGGTGTGGATGAGGTGGAACCCCAACCTCTGCACCCCTTCCCTGGAGATGACTTGGAGATGTCAGGGCATGCAAATGGAGGTTGGGAGGCACAGGAGACAGCTGTGTGTGACAGAACCAAGGGAGCAGGTGTGGTGGCTGGAGTTGGGAGATAGGTCAGGGGTGCAATCAGCATTTCATTTAATGAGCACTTAGTGAGTACATCTGTTCAAGCATCGGGGTTGTGCTGAGAGACACAAGGCGCTCACACACCAATGGAGAAGCCAAGTAGCAAATCAAACACAGAGCAGTGCAGGTGGGCTGGGGGCCCTGGAAGCTCAGAGTCAGCGTGGGCAGGGCAGGAAGTACCCTGGAGACAGTGCTCTGCTGTGTCTTGGAGGACAGTGGGGTCAGCTGGGGAATCACTGCCCCCATGGCCAGCGGGGATGAGCCTCCCAGGCCTGGGCCACAGTGAACACAGCTTGTTCATGTTCACGAAGTGACCAAGGGAGAGGAAAGCCTAGTGGGGAGGGACGGCCAGGTAGTGGTGGGGTTTGGAATTTTCCCGAAGGTAATGGAAGCCCCTGAAGGATTCTGGATGGGGATGGACAAAAGGTCACACCACGCTACAGTCATGGGAGGAGAGCTTTGAAAGGAGTGGATGGGAAGAAGAACCCAGTGTGCTGTTACTGGACCCCAGGGGGAGGGTGGCATGGAAGCCACCTCCAGTCCCTGGGAGCTCCTGAAGAGGGGACATGGCAGCCAGACACGGTGGTGCCCACCTGAAATCCCAGCAACTCAGGAGGCCGAGGTAGGAGGATCACAGGTTCAAAGCCAGCCTCCATAGCTGTAAGCAACCTACTGAGACCCTGTCTCAAAATGAAAAATAAAAAGGGCTGGGATGTGGCTGAGGTATTAAACGCCCTTGGGTTTAATACCTCATACCAAAAAAAAAAAAAGAGGGGACCTGGCAGAACTAGGGCTGGGCTGTCACCAGCACCACTTGTGCTTCCTGGTTCAGGGAAGAAAAGGGGTCCAGGTGAGTGCTGCTGGGTAGAAGCCAGGATCAATGGCTTTCTGCTCAGGTGTCCTGCAGCCCGGTCTGGGTGGTTGGAGGTGCCGGGCCTCGGAGAGGCCAAGCCCCTTGCATTTGAGTTCAAGCTGGGTGCTCTCAGCTTGGCTTCCCGACTTGCCCTCAGGGTCCTGTGGGGGAGCTGCTGGCAGTGCCCGCCAGGCTCATCCCCTTGAGTGCAGGAAATACTCATAGCTGAGGAAGGTGACAGCGTTGACCGGAAAGGCACGGGCACTGTTGATGGTAAGCCCCCGGAAGAAGACCCCCAGTCCCTCCTGCCGGAAGCTGCTCACCATGCAGTCCAGCAATCCCTGGTAGGCTCTGCGTCCCAGGCCATCCATCTGCATCCGGGACTTGATCACGTCTAAGGGCGTGGCTGTCACCCAGGAGGCAATGCCTGCAAAGCCCCCGGCCACTAACACTGTGGCTGAGCCTGGGGTAGAGGAAGCCCAGGGTGGGGTCAGATGGGAAAAAGAGCACCCTCTTCCTCCCCAGCCCCCCACCCTCTCACCACTTCACTTACTAGGGGTCTGGCCATCTGGAGTGTACTGGCGACAGAGCCCTTCATAGGTGACAAAGTAGATTCCCAACGTGGGGGTGTCCCTCAGCATTAGGGCCCAGGCTCCTCGGAACAGTCCCCGTGGACCCTCTTCCCGGAAGATGGTGGCTACGCAGTGCACGGGCCCCTGGTACCGGGGTCGAGGGCTCCCTGGCTGCACCCTTGACTCCGTCTGGTTTTGTAGTCGGACTTTGATGAGGTCAAATGGGGCCAGGCAGTAGGACTGTTGGGAAGGAAACAAGCAGGGCTTGGGCTGGTAACTGTCCCTTAAGACAACAAGAGGAAGGATGGGCAGAGGGGCTGCATCAGCCTGTGGGGACCACACTGGGGCCTCTCCCACACATGGCTGGGCATGGGCCAGGGCATTCTGATGCAGCAGGACAGGCCACCTCCCTGGGTATCAGGCTTGGTCCCCGCCTCATGCACAGCACCAAGCTTGCCTGGCAGGCACCAGGCCCAAGAGGACAAGCCCGGATTGTTTTTCCAGGAGTGGGAGTGAGTGTCTGGCCTCCCAAGATCCAGGGATGTGCAGGCATTTGCAGTAACTGGGCTGGATAAAGGGTTCAGTCTGTGACCATGAAACACCAAAGAACAGGCCCTCCCCAGGGTGAAGGAGGTCACCTCAGTGTCATTGTTCTAGTTACAGGGCCCAGCTTCACAGCTTCTCCCCCTTCCTCTGTGTGTCACCTCTCAGAGGCCTGAGGCCACCACTGGGCAGCCCTTCCTGCCTCTCACCAAGCCCTGTGATGGGTGGGATTCAGCAGGTCATAGAATTCTTGTCATTGTCTTAGGTAGACAAGAAAGATTTGGGGTAGAAATGGGACAGGGCCCCTGGTGAGGGTGGGCACTGAGGGGATACAGAAAGGAGGGGGAGGGGGGGGGTTGGGTCAGGGACACAACCGCATTGTTCAGATAAGCTGCTGAAGTTCAGGTGAGAGCTGGGTCCAGGCTGAGGGTGGCATGTTGCTGGGGACATGTGTGGGGTTTTTTTTGTTGTTGTTTTATTTTTGGGTGTACCGGGGATTGAACTCAGGGGCACTCGACCACTGAGCCACATCCCCAGCCCTGTTTTGTATTTTATTTAGAGACAGGGTCTCACTGAGTTGCTTAGTGCCTCACTTTTGCTGAGGCTGGCTTTGAACTCATGATTCTCCTGCCTCAGCTCCTGAGCCTATGGGATTGGAGGCGTGCACCATGGTTCCAGGCCCGGGCTCATATGTGTCTTGGGAGGAGCCACCTGAGCCCAACTCCTCAGCTTTAGACATGGCTGGTGGTGGAGGGGGCTGGAGATCAGCCCTGGAGGTAGGTTTTGATAAACAGCAAGCCACACTTTTACTTTTGTCTCAGCAGGCAGGGTTGTGGGCTGGGGACCCCCTTTGTGAGACAGGCCCTAATGCTGCCCTCCAGAGCCTGTTGGCCGAGCTGAGCCCTTGGCCAGGGTGGTTTCCTGAGCCTGGTCTCCCGAGGGCTGCGGAAAGTGCTGTGTGGTGGGGGCCACGGAGCACCAGGTGTTCTTTCCCCAGTGAGCCGTCAGCCTCTGCCAGGTGGAGAACAAGTCCGTGCCCGTCAGAGGCTGTCGGTGTCTCCCTCTTCCTCCCACCTGCTCACTAAGACACAATTCTGCTTCGAGACCTGTTATGCCAAAGCCATAGGCTTGACATGAATCCCAGGCTCCAGTCAGCCCTTGGACCCAGTCTCTATCCATGGCCCCGACTGTCCTCTATTTTGCTTTCTAGAGACTGAGGAGCGGGGCCTGGCTGGGCCTAAGTCAGGCCACTTTGCTGAGTGTCTCGGTTCTCTTTATTGTTTTTGCAGAGTATAGAGCTTGGGGCTTAGAGATAGGTAGTCATGGCTCCCACACAAGAAGGTTCAGAATCCTCAAGACTTCTGGGGGTCTCGTTAATCATTAATTAACTTAATATGCAGCCTGACTTTGTCCTCGGGTCTTGCTCTCTGCTCCATGAAACGTGTCAAGGGCATCAAGGCAGGTGACCAGCTGGGGTGTGGGACAGAACCAGTCCCTCTGCCTCTTTCTGTTCAGATTCCTTCTTGCCTCCACCCCACCCCTCAAAAGCCCATGAACTACAGTGCTGAGAACAAAACCAAATGACTGCAGCGACTTAATGATTAATATCCCGGGCCTCTCCCAGTGAGATCTGTGGCCTGGAGCCTCAGGTGAGGCTCCCAGATAGTGGCCACCAGTTGCTGAGGGCAAGGGCCTCAGCCAGGCAGGGCTGGGCTTTGAGCTCTGTGGGGACTAATTGTTGTTCAGGGTCAAAGGTCACCATGGGGAGTAGTCTTCCCACAGAGCTGGGGTTGGCAGACCCCTCTGGAGGTGGACAAGTCCTGCCAGCTCGAGAGCAGGCTCCAGCTTCTCCTCTATGGCCTCCTCTTGGCACTGCCAACCAACTCTTTCTGTCTTTTGCCCGCTCTGTTCTCCACCCTCAGGTGGGCAGCCTGGTTAGGCCACCAGGAGCAGCAGCACCACATGGCCTTCAGCAAGGCCTGCCCATCTGTAGCTCTGAGTCACCAGAGGGTTAGGGAGGAGACAGACCCCTCTGGTCAGCACGGTACCACCTGTGTGTATGCCCACGTGCCACCCACTCACCTGCAGGACACCACCAGTGCAGCCTGCTATGAAGACATGTGTGTAGCTGGGGGGCTGGGCCCGCCGCTCCTGGTGGGAGGTGGCTGTGAGTGCCAGCAGGGTGTTGCTGTAGACCCCGAACAGGACAGAGTTGACCACAGGTATGCTGGCAATGGGGAAGCTCATTCCCTTGAAGAAGCCCAGGAGCTGCAGGGCAACATGGTGGCACTGAAGTAGGCACGGCGGGCTCACCCCCTCCCCTTACCAGCCCAGCAAGGTCTCCTCCCTCCCTCCCACTCCCCTTTACTAAACCCTATCCCAGGGAGGTGGGGTGGTGAGGTTGGGAAGGCCTGGCTCTATCCTGAAGGGGCTAAGCTACCACCCAGTGCTCCCAACGAGCCCAAACGTGGTCTTTTGTTTCGGAGGGCAGAGCCCTGCTGGGAGGAAAAGGAAACTTATGCCACCTGCCCCAGAGCCTCCCACCCCAAAGAGGTGATTCACCCACCGACTCATGGCGGTAAATCTTGACCATACAGTCCATGATGCCCCGGTAGCTGGTCTGGGTCTGAAGTCGCACCTGCATAGGGAGGACAGGGCAGGTGGGGCAGGTGAGCCAGTCAGGGCTGCATCCATGCCAGGCAGCCAGCTCTGCCCTCTGCCCCTTGGAGCAGGAAGCCAGTGGGTAGGCAAGGCAGCATGAGCCCCTCTCAGCCAGGCCTGATCTGGGCCACATGATGTTCTGTTCAAGTGAGACAGTCCAGTCCTCTGGTGCCTCTCCTGACTCACCTTCACAGTGTCAAAGGGATGTCCCAGGACCAGGCCCAGAGCTCCTGTGGTGACAAGAAGGTGCTATGAGTGAGGGCTCATGCCAGGCCCAGGAAGCAAGTCTGTGTGAGAGGAAAGAGGGATTCAGGCAGGAGGAAGGAGGCCAGGCCTTCTCAGACTGTCCACCTGCCCTCCAGACTTCAAGGAGACTCGAGCTGGTGCTGCCCGGCCCTGCCATGCTATGTGCTGGGCCAGGAAGGTACTAGGTTGAAGGACTGAGACCCTGGGCCCCACCTGAGGAGACACATGCAGAAGGGAAGGGCCCACTGCAGACGCTGTTCACACTGACTATAGAACACAAGGTCTGGAAGGAATCTCCACCCGGCACCTTCCTCCATCTCACAGTGTTGTGGCCTTGCTCCAGAGACCCTGCCTCCCTGGCACTCGCTACTCAGGCTGCAGTGCAGAGCTGGAGGGTCCCTCCAGGAATCTGGCTGGCACCTGGGGAGGAGACCCCACCTCCTACTTCCCAGCCTCATCCTCCACAGCTCAGGCTTGCTCTGGAGCTTGAGGCTGCCTCCCCAGGAGGTGGGTTCAGAATGTCCTTCCCTTTCTCTCAAGAGGAATGTCATCTAGAATCTGGGTTTGGGTACACAAACTGCCATGTCAGGCCTCAGAGCCCAGGGGTGCAACCCATTGCCAGGTAGGGCAGAGGCCCAAAGGGGAACTCAGGACAGTAGGGTAAGGTCAAAGGTGAACTTCCTTTTGGGCCCTGCAAGATGGACCTGGCCCCAGTGGGGGGACCTGTGGTACAGGATGTTCCTCGGCTCTCCGCTGTAGTGGGTGTCAGGCGGAGTAGCCTTGGGATGCAGGGCTTGTACCTCTGGCCTGTACCTTCTTCTCCTCTCCTCCTTCCCTGTGACTCCCAGGAGGCTCTGGGGACAGCTGGCTTTCGGGTCTCCAGGGGGATCAGAACTTTAGCCTCGATTCTTCATATGTCACCCACCATCCCTAGGAAGTGACCTACCCTTAGATGTGATAGAAGGAAGAAAAATGTCTCACCAGAGATCCAGCCAGCCATGAACTCCTCCACAGGCATTGTCTGGGCTCGGGCAGGAACTGGTGCTCCACACGGGAGACTGGTGAGTGTGATTCCCCTGCCCTCCCCCGAGACGGGCAGACAGCCTCCCACTAATGTTTAACTCTGGCTGGAGGGTGAGAAGTGGCCCAGTGCCCAGATCTCAGGCAACCAGGAGTGGGGCGTGAGCCAACTTCAGTGACCCTGAGACTGGAGGATGTGTGTGCAGAGCAGGGAATCTTCCGGGGCAGGAAGATGGGCCCACAGGCCTGCGGAACGTCCTTTCTGGTCAATGACGCCTTACTGAGTGGCCTGAGATGGCAACTGGGTTCTAGCCCGGCCAGGCCCCTCCAGGGCTGCCTCAGTTAGCAAGAGACAAGGCCCGTCCCGCCTGTTCATGCCAAATTCCTACTCATGCCCACCAGAGCACAGGCCTTGCCCACCCCAGACCCGCAGCGAGACCTGGTGGAGGCAGAGTGTGGCCACTAGGTGGCAGGCCCAGCTCACAGTGGCCTGCAGCAGCCACTCAAACAGGATACGCTGGGAAGAACCCAGGAAAATAGAAGAACCAGCCCCTAGAAGAGGCTCCCCAGGCCCTTAAGCCTGTCTACTCTCAGTCAGAGATGCTGCCTCCCTCAGCCTCCTGTGCCCCAGGGAAAGCTGACGGTTCTGACTAGGTAAAGGACTGTGTGTCTGTGCAATGGTACCGTGCTGCTCTGGGTCAAAACCAGAACCTTGCTGTGTCTCTCGCCCTCCCTCACCCTCTTGCTTCCTCCACAAGAAGATGGAACATGAAGGTTGTAGCCAGATGCCTACGCCTAGATATGGGACTTGCCAGTCTCCAAACTGGGAGAAATAAATTTCTTTATAAGTTGAGAGAGAGAAAGATCGAATCCTTTCTGGGTTCTCTGAGCCCTCAGGGCCCACCCATTCTCCTCTGACCTCACCTCCGGCCACCCTGGCCTCCCTACTCTTCTTTCAAACAAGCCCCCGCCTCCAGGTCTTTGCACGGGCTGTTCCCTCTTCCTGGACACCCTCTCCCTGACTTCCTCCAGGCTGGGGTTTAAACGTCACCTCCCAAGGGAGGCCTCCCCGAATCATCTCCAGTAACGTGGATCTGCCCGCCCAGGGGCCGGTGCCCCGCCCTCCCACTCTTCCTCTTCTTTCTAGAATTGTGCCTGTCACCGACTTGGAATGTCTGGGCAGACAAGCTCTCCGGCTGTTTTGTCTATTGTATCTCAAAGGCTTAGAACAGCGCCTGGCACAGAGTCGGAACTCAATAAATCCTAGCTCAGTAAATGAATGAATCAATGAAAAAGTCCGGAAAAGGCATCCAGTGGCCAGACCTGGGGCTCCAGATCTCTCTCCCACTGCCAAAGGACCCAAAAAATACGCCAATCTCCACTCCAGGTCCCCTTGGTTTCCTACTGGATGCCCAACCTTTCTCTCTCCTTTCTCTGAGGGTGGGCAAGTCCCAGGAGGCGGGGCCTCATCTCCAACCTCCTCTCCTGAAGCTGTCTGGGGTCCAGGACTGGCCTCTCAGGATGGGTGGATGGAGCTGCCCTTCTTGGGCCACCTGTTCTCCCAAGTGACATCGGCACCCATTCTGTGGGCTTTGGGGTCCTTTAACACTTGCCAGAGTAGGGCATCAGCCCAGCTGATTGCTATGTCCAAGCCTCTGAGCCCTCAAGGGCCATGGACTCTTTTTCCCCGACTTCAGAATGGGCCCATTCTCTTTCATTTCCACCATCCTACCCCAATTCATGAGAGCCATTTCTTCTCTCCATTTCTGGGAGCCTCACAGAGGGAAATCCACCCTGGCTGTTGCTTTCTCAGTCTTCCTGCAAATTCCACCAGGTTCATCCTCCTCACAGCAGAGCAGGACTCTCATCTTGTCACTTTCTAGCTCACAACCTCCACAATATCCTTGATGCCTGACACCTTCCTCACTGGCCATGCCCCTCACCCTGGGGTTCAAGAACCACCACTACCTGACGTACCCAGGGTTTTCTATAACCTAATGGTCTCCCTTAGCTGCTTGCCTTCCTCATCCTGTCAGCCAGCCTGTCACTCAGCCTTCTGGATTCTTCAACGGCCCTGCTTGGTTATAGCCAGGTTCCAATCTCCCCACTGCTGCCACCACACGCACTGCCAGGAGTCAGTCTCCTTGTTTAATCTTTTCAGTCCTGTTTCCTCATTCATAAAATGGAGATATAATACTCACCTCTCAGTATGCGACAAGGTTTTTTTTTTAAGAGAGAGAATTTTTTTAATATTTATTTTTTAGTTTTCGGTGGACACAACATCTTTATTTTATTTTTTATGTGGTGCTGAGGATCGAACCCAGCACCCATGCATGCCAGGCAAGCGCGCTACCGCTTGAGCCACATCCTTAGCCCCGCGACAAGGTTTTAAACACTTAGAAAAGTGGCACATAAATAGTAGCTGCTAATGCTCATATTTCCACTCCTAGGATCCATGAGGACATGAAGAAATACAGTGTGCAGCACACAGTATTTGAGCAGGAACTGAAGACCTTCCTCTTCCTGCTTATGGTATTTTGTAGCTCTTATGGCCACACTGTCATCATCTATAGTTTTATTTATTTTTCAGTTTTTTCCAGCATTGATGATTGAACTCAGGGGTGCTCTACCACTGAGCCACATTCCCAGCCCTTTTTACTTTTATTTTGAGACAGGGTCTTGCTAAATTGCGGACAGCCTCGCTAAGTTGCCCAGCCTGTCCTTGAACTTGTGATCCTCCTGCCTCAGACTTCCAAGTAGCTGGGATTACAGGCATGTGTCACTATACCTGACTATAATTATTCTTTATATTACTAGTATAATACCAGTTATTAAGATAGGAATAAAAGAACTGGTGATTGCCCAGATTATGACTATCAGGTGACTTGCAAATACTCTGTGAATTGCAACCAATGAAAGTGGTGTAGCTTGTGAATTTATTACTATTTAATAAATTTTGACATAAATGTGTTTGGTCTATGTATTGACGTAGCTCACTCAGAACACCCACAGTCCCTTTTGGCTGATCCCCAAGCCCATTGTTGTCTCAGAACAAGTTCCTCTGACTTGGGCAGATGCCCATGGACTTGTTTTTCTCCCTGTGTTCTGCATCTCATACACACATACCCATGTTGCCAGGAAATGTTGGTGAGGTGAGTTGGCAGATAGGTGGTTTCACACCTGCCTCTTCAGAGCTCCAATGTCTGGGAATATCTCAAGGTCTCAGAGGCTGTGTGTCTCAGATAGCCAAGGCTCATGTGACTGTGCCCTGAAAAAACTGTGCCTGACCTCAGTTTTTGACATACACAAATAAATTGAGAATGAGAATGGAGTCCAAAGTCATTTTACAGATGAGCAAACAGAGGCCCAGAGGGGAAGGGACTTGACTGTCTCATGACCACCACCCTTTACGGCCAGAGGGCTCTGCGGTATAGGCCGCTGCCTGCGACACCTCTGCCCAGCGCTCAGCTGGCTGACCAGTCCACCCAAGCATCTTCATCTCTCAGGAGGGAGTGCGACCCCAAAGTCACAGGCGAATGGAGTGAACGCCTACACTCGCGCCCCCTCCCTTTCTTGAATCTTTACCACACCCTACTGCAGATCAATGGTCTGAGACTGCGGGTAGAGAAACTGGACTTGGGTCACTCGGGTTGGTGACCCTGCCGGTTCAAGTCGCGGCCACGCCTGGGGCGTGACCCACCCAGGGGCGTGGCGGGACCCCCGGGGAATCTGGGCATGCGCGGCCCGTGGGGGCGTGGTCCCTCTGGCGCCCGCAGAGAGCGTGCGCGGCGGCCTCAGGCTTCGATTGGCTCCCGCGGCCGGGGAGGCGGAGTCTGACTGCGGCGCTTCCTCCTACCGCAGCTTCCGAGGCGCAGCCCCAGGGGCGGGAACGCCTGTAGCAGCCCGGATACCGAGCGGTGGTAGGCTTAGGGGTCCCTGGAGCCGGAGCTGGGAGCCAGAGTCAGTGCTGAATCCTGGCCTGAGGCTGCGGGCTCTGCGACCCTGCGAGGTGAGAGCGCGGCCACTCCCTGGCTGGGCCCCCGCCCCGGCTTGGGGCTCGCGGTGCTCTGCCTGGACATTCTGGCTAGCGAATTTCGACCCTCCGCCCCTGTCACTGCCTTGACTCCTTTCACCAGTCCCGATCTCCAGTCAGCCGAAGGGCACGCTCCACCTCCAGCCTGCACAGTTGGTTTCTGCCAGGCAGGTTGTTCAGCCTTGTAGACCCAGGCTAAGACCCCTTCTCTTACTCGTGAGGAGCTAAAGGAGACCCTCATTCCCCACCTCTGGACCCCCAGTAACTGCTGCTTCTCTTTCCCTTTGCAGATGGACGGGCCAGAAGGCAATGCTGGTCAGCCTGGCCCAGCTGAGAGGTCCCACCGGAGCAGCGTGTCTTCAGTGGGAGCCCGAGGTGGGTCCTTGCTCTGCTCCTCTCTCTGCACCCTCCAGGAGATGTGGCTCTGCCTTGTCTTTTTTACTAATCTTATGTTTTAAGATATCAGGTGTTTATGAGATGTGGCAAACTTAAACAAGCCAGAGGCAGAGCACCTGGGCTTTGTGACTAGCTTAGTGATCCAGTTGGTACTGTCCTTGAATTCCTGCTCTCCTCATTTATAGAACAGTCAAGTCTCACCTGGTTGTGAAATTCAAGTGGGAACATATGAATGAAAAGTGACACCTCCACTTTCTTTGTTCCTTTTCTTTCTCACAAACAGCCTTTCAAAGGCAGGGGTCATTATCTTCCTTTTATAGGGAGAAAACTAGACCCTAGAGAAGTTAAATCACAGGCTTTTGGAAACCTTCAGGTGATCATGATCTTGAGCTTCTCTTCATTGCCTCTGTTTTCCCTCCCTGTGAGTTGGAGCTGAACTTTTTCCCTCCCTGTAAGTTGGAGGTGCCAGGAGATGATTTTTTGATCTCTCAAAGTAGCTGTAGAGACAGAAGAGACTGGGGATCCAAAAAGTACCTTCACAGTTGACTCTAAAGTATGCCCTTCCCTTTCACTGGCTTTCTTCATTTGATTCACAGCCAGTCTTTGAGGGAGGGATATTATCTCTGCTTTTGCAGATGGGTCAGCCAACACTCAAACTGACTAGCCAAAGTCAGCCAGTTAGCCCTAGAGAGCTGACAAGCACTGGAACCCTGGGGTGTGGGCCTCCAAGCTCAGTGTTCCTTTGCTGCCTGTGGTTCCAGGGATGGGAATTTGAATCTTGCTACCCTGCCAAGGGTCTCTCTTTGGCTTTATGCTCCCGATGGAAATCCCATAGCTTGTAACAAGGGAATGCTCAGCTCTTTGGGTTGTCCTTTCCTAGACTGCTTTTTTTTTTTTTTTTTTTCCCTCCCCTTTTGCAGCACTGAGGGCTGAACCCAGAGGCACTCTACCACCGAGCCACATCCTCAGCCCTTTTTAGTTTTTGAGACAGGGTCTCACTAAGTGGGTAAGGCTAGCCTTAAACTTGAGATCCTCTTGCCTTAATCTCCTGAGTCCCTGGGATTACAGGTGTGCACCACCACCACACCTGGCTCCCTAGCCTGCTTCAGGCTTTCTCCTGAAAGGCCACAGTACTGACCTCTGAGGCTTGAAGAGTCCTGAGGAAGCAGAGACATAGAACTTTCTTTGTCTTGGGGTGGCCTTAGGAATCCTCATTCCCTTCCTAGGCAAGACTCATTCTCTCTTTAGTCCAGGCTAAGGGAAACAGTGGGTCACCATCCCTCCTCACTCCCAGCCTCATAGGCTAACTGCTGTGACCTCAGGATGGGTTCAGCTTATGTGCATAGTTCCTCACCTGTGGAATGTTCTTCAGGGCAGAAATGCAGCAGTGCTTGGGGTTGCCAGAGAGCTGGAGGCAGGGGTTTATCATGGCCAGCTCTAAGTTAAGGTGAGGTAAGGCTGGTATCAAGGCCACAGTGCTGGGTTTCTGGGTGGTTTGAGGGTCTCATGGAAGTCCTGATAGGCAGCACTCCTAACAGGGTCTTTTGGAAAGATTGTTGAGGCTCTGTTTCAGGAGTGTAGCCTGGGTCACCCCCAAGGGGTGTAGGATTGTGAAGGGTGCCTGGTCAGCCAGGCTGTGGGCCTTAGCTGACCCTGCCTGGCTTCTATCACAGCTGCTGATGTACTGGTGTACCTGGCCGATGACACAGTGGTGCCCCTGGCTGTGGAGAACCTGCCCTCACTCAGTGCCCATGAGCTGCACCGGGCAGTCCGCGAAGTCCTGCAGCTCCCAGACATTGCCCTAGATGCCTTTGCACTCTGGCTTGTCTCCCCGCTGCTGGGTAAGGCTTGATGGTGAGCAGCCCTGGGCAGGAGGGTTGGAAGGGCACTGACTAGTGCTGCTTCGGGAACCTCTGGCTACTTACTACACATCAGGAGTGTGTCCTGGAGCTAGCTACCCCTTTGAGGATCCAGAGCCCTCGGGAGACTCCTGACTCCTTTATCCCCACTTTTATTTGGCTGGTGGCAGAGGAAAGGCCTGAACCAGGACTCTGGGGGTGGGAGGGTAGGGCTTCCTGTTCACTGAGCATACCTTTTGTGCCATAGCTAGGCCTCACTCTGAGAGCACAATTTCACATCCTGTGGCCTAGACCTGTTCTGCAGTGAGGAATTTGAGGTCTCCCAAAACAGAAGGGAGGTGCTGGTCCCTGGACTGTGTTCTGTTCCTTGGGGTTAGGGAAGAAAGTGAGGTGTAACCCAGGAAGCAGCTGCAGTGATGGTGTGGCCTTTGTCGAGGGTGGAAAGGACAGGAAGAGGAAGTACATGATTTCTCTGGACAGGGGTCTCAGCCCTGCCTGGTTTCTGACCCAGTGGCTATACACATCCTGCCCTTTCATATTGGGACCCCAGGGTGGGGTGGAAGTGGGGGCATTGGTCCTCCAGACCCTTACCCAGGAGTCCCTGGGTGAATAGGGTCCCTGGACCTGCTGCCTTGGACAGGAAGAAGGCCACAGGACAGAATGCCCCATGTCATCATCTGGGAAAGTAAATTGGTGCCAGGACCAGGCATGTTTCCTGAGCTTGAACATTCCCTTTGTTGTAGAGGAACAGGGTAGGGAGGTGACTAGTCCCACTAAGAGGGTGAGCAGGATAGCCTGAGTCCAGCCCCAGGCTGCTGCCTCTCCTGAGGCCACTGGGGTTTGTGCCTGTCCCCCAGAGGGAGCATCCCAGTGAGTTTAAGTAGAAGAAAGGGAGCTCCCAGCACTCCCACCCCCACCCCCCGCCCCCGCCCGCTTCCTGCGCAGCTGCTGCTCTAGGGCTGCCGCCTACCCTCTTCCTGCTGACCCGTATCTGGCCATTCCACACCCAGCCCAGCTACCCCCCTTCACCCTCAGAGCTTCTGGTCAGGACGGGGCCCCTTGGCTGTATCTTTGGAAAGCTGGGGGTGGTGAGCCTGAGTGGGTATCCCGTGCCTGCCTTGGGAGGCTCCCAGTGCTGCTGCCAGGCAGATTGCTCCCCTCTCCACTTCCTTCACCCCCTCCCTCATCACATTCCTTTCCCCAGTGGCAAGAACTGAATGGGCTGTCTGTGTGGCCTGGCCCATCCAGGGGGAGGATGGCTGAGGCCACTGCGGAGTCAACACCCACCTTGTTCCCAGGCTGGTTTTGGAGGGTGAATGCTACACTTCAGCTTTGCCTCAGGCCCCAGAACCTCTGAGCTCCCCCACAGCACACTGGTGAAACAGTAGCAGAGACCCCAGGGCTAGAGTTCCTGCAAGACAGGGATGGGGTACCGTCTGCAGGAGCCCCCTTGCACATTTTGGTAGAATTTGGCCTCCTAGATGCCACTGTTGTTGCATGGGGGCAGGGCTCCAGGGACTGTCAGTCTTATTTAGGTGACAACCTCCAGGCTTGAAGCCCATCTGGAAGTCTGAAACCATGGGATTAGCATAGTCCTTTTCTGATAACGGGATCCTCTGAGTTTCCAGGACCTGTAGTGAAGACAGGAGGATGTCCCTGTCCCCAGGTCTCCCCTTCCCCACGTCTCCCCTTCCCCACAGTGTGTCCAGTGGACCCCAGCTAGTGGGTTACTTTGTTTATTCCATAAGAGGGCACAAAGCACTCTGACCCTGGGGAGTGTTCTGCATGCTGGGGGTACAGCAGGGAACCAGACTGATGGAGTCCCTACCCGCAATGAACTCGAAGTTGGTACTTTCAAGTTGAAAGGGTAGAGAAGAGAAGTTTGAAGAACAGAACTCTGTTCCTGACTAACTCCTTTTGGCCTTGGCAGTCCCCATCCCTCTGAAAATGATCTTGATGCCCTCGCAGCCCTGACATCCTGTGAGTCTCCAGATAGAGCAGGAGGAGGGACTGATCAGGCAGGAAGGTGGCAAGAGAGCACTTCCAGGAGGGGAGAAAAACGCAACTGTTGAGGCAAATGGGTGGAACTAAGGATCTAAGCGGGAAATGAGGACTGTGGAGCCTCTGGGAATCTGGATCCGAAATGATGGGGTAAGAAAGGACTGGAGAAGCTGGATGGAGGGTTAGATGGAAGAACCTGGAGACGGAGGCCAATTTGGAGCTGTGCTCCTGTTTGAGATCAGGATCAGGGTTGGAGCTGGGTGTGGTGGCATGACCTGTAATCCCAGCTACTGGGGAGTCTGAGGCAAGAGGATTGCCAGTTTGAGGCCAGCCTGGGCAACTTAGCAAGACTCCGTCTCAAAATTTTAAGAAAGTTGGGCTAGGGTTGTGGGTCAGTGGTAGAGCGCTTGCCTAGCATGCGCTAGGCAGTGTGTGAGGCATGTGTGAGCCACTGGGTTCGATCCTCAGCACTGCATAAAGACAAATAAATTGTGTCCATCTACAACTAAGAAATATTTTTTAAAAATTTTAGGAAAGTAAAAACCTGGGGATGTAGCTCAGTGGTAGAGTTTAAACCCTTGGGTTTAATCCCTAGTACCTGAAAAAAAAGAAAAAAGGAGAGATCTGGGTCCAGGTGGAAGTTCCAAAAGGTCCAAAGAATGGAAATGAGGACTCTTGGCACTAGGCTGGCAGGACAAGGAACTCAGCCATCTGCGGGGAGGGGGAGGGGGAGAAGAAGGCCATGTGGGGCAGACGATAGAGGGCAGGTGAGTGACAGGTGTTTTGCTACTCCCCCTCCTGCATCCTCAGCAGACACTTCAGTTCACCTCTGAGTGAGCGTGGAACCCCTCACACCTCTCAAAGGGCAGCACCCCAGGTGGCACTCTGGCCTGTGAGCTGAAGATGCTTGTTCCCTGGTCCGAGGGGCTGAATCTTGGGCTGATAGCACAGAGGTTGAGGCGCTGTGAGTGAGTGTTCAGTCATTGTGCCAGTCCATGTTGGGGCCCTGTGCGCACAGGATCTACTCCTATCCACGTGTCACTCAGTCTAAAGCAGGCTGAGGCAGTGAGAGCTTGTCAGGTGGTGGAAAGTGCTGGAAAGGCAGGCAGATGAGGGCACAGATAGAAGGTTTTGAGGAGATGCTGCCTTAGTTAGGAGTCCAGGGCAGATGACCTTGAGCTAAGATCTGAGTTGTCCAGTCATGTACAGATCTGGGAGACAGGAATCCAAGGCAAGAAGAGCAGCAAGTACAGATTGTGCCCACGACAGTCAGCCTAGGAGTGTTCAGTGATTTAAGGCCTGTGTAGCAGGAACAGAGTGGAGGGGGCGAGGGAGGTAGCCAGGTGAGAGCCAGGCGGGAGCTGGGCGGCACCATCTTGTGTGCCGTGGAGGCGAAGGTGGAGCCTGGCAGTGGGGAGGCCCAGGCCCTGCCAAGGGCAGGGGAAGGCAGCTTCTCCAAACTTTGGGCCCTCATCTCCAGCCTCAGAGTCTGCTTCCTGGTAGTTCTGGGTCTCTCTGCATGCCCCCCCCCCCCAGCCCCTTCCATCCACCTCAGCCTGCCTGGGGCTGGAGTGAGCAGGGGTCGGCTGTCTCTGAAGCCCAGTACTCTTTGTGACTCTGGACAAGTCGCTTAACCTCTCTGAGCCCTGTTTTCTCTGAGGATGAAATGGACAATAGAGTTATTAGGGTAAATGCATAAGAACCACTTGAATTGGTTCTGGACACTCTGTACCTACTCAGTTACTGATAGATGTGACTGTCCTTGTTGTTGCCATGAGTGGGCAGTTATGACGGGGGTGGGTGGGCACCATCAGCCTGCTCCTGAGGCTGCATGGATACCTCTCCTCTCATCCTGCAGAGGTGCAGCTGAAGCCCAAGCACCAGCCCTACAAGGTGGGCCGCCAGTGGCCCGAGCTGCTACTGCGCTTCACTGACGCCCCAGACGACGATGTGGCCATGGGTCAGTGCTGCTTTGGGCAGGTGGAGTTGCCCTAGCTGAGGGCAGGCCCTGCATCTCCCCCAGGTTTGGGCAGCCACTTCTGACGGGAGATCAGGTGCCTAGGGGAGGCTGAATAAGGGCAGCTGGGATGCTTATCGGGCGAGGCGGTGAACTGTGTAGCCCTCTCTCAGGGCCCTTGGCACGAGGGTTTCATAGTCAAGGTGGGTGAGATTGGGAGCTGGGCCTGAGCCAGTCACAGGGAAGGGCAGCGCTGGGCGGAGCAGGGTGGCTGGCCAGTGACACTGCTTCCCTCCCCAGATGAGCCTTCCCTGCAATTCCGAAGGAACGTGTTCTTCCCAAAGCGGCGGGAGCTCCAGGTGAGGCGTGAGCCCTGGAGAGTACCCAGTCCAGGCCGTGCCAGCTCCCCTTCTCCCTTCATGCCTTGCCCCAGCTGGCTGAGCAGTCCTCTGCCACACTGGCCCACAGATCCACGATGCGGAGGTTCTGCGGCTGCTGTATGAGGAGGCCAAGGGCAACGTGCTGACCGCTCGATATCCGTGTGATGTGGAGGACTGCGAGGTGCTTGGCGCCCTGGTGTGCCGTGTGCAGCTCGGGCCCTACCAGCCTGGCCAGCCTGCTGCCTGCACCCTGAGGTGAGGGCAGGTGACCCAAGGCAGGGGCACCTGGTAGGGGAAGTTGCCCCCACTTATGAGTGGTCATCGGTCCTGCAAGGTGGGGCACAGTCCTGGAATTTGGAGGCCTCAGTCCTATCACACATGCTCACTGTGTGGCCTTGGGTGAGTTGCTCCACCTCTCTGAACCCCCTTTCCCTCATCTGGGCAGAGGAAACCTGGGTGAAGTGCTGTCTAAGAAGACTCCATAGCCCAAGAGGCCCTAGGAAAGTGTGAGGGCGGAGGCTGGCCTCTGGATGAAGTCAGGAGGGAACTGGCCTTGTTCATTGAAGTCACAGCCAGGGACTAACCAATACTGATTCTCCAGTGGCCAGTAACAGTCCAGCTTAATTCCAAACCCAAGGAATGGAACCCCATTCCCCAGACACTCATCCAGCCAGCTGTGTGCTTCCCAACCTTCTCAGGGCTGCCTCTGCCATGTGATATGCAGGCCTTGGGGTGGGGGTAGGGGCAAGGACTGAGTCTGCCCTGGCAGCACACCAGGCCACGCTCTCCCCTCCACAGAGGATGCCGCTGAGGTTTAGAGATACTACCCTGTTACAGTGGATGAGGCAGGAGAGAGGTGTGCAGGACAGGGACCCTGTGCTGGGGCTGATGACTGGGGCCTGGCAAGGACTACCCCAGTCTCAGAGTTGACCTGGAGGGCTGTCAGCTGAGCTGGTCCAAGGCTGGTGGCTGAGGGGCCCAGGCCCTGGTAGTAGGCACATCTGTTCCTCTTGTAAGTGACAACAAACCCAGCTCAAACTGTTGGCACACCTGAGCCCTTGCTCAGGTCGCATTCAAGTGTGGTCAAGGAGCCTCGGCCGAGCTCAGTGCCAGGGCTCAGCTGGGACCCTGCCCCGTTCTCACTCTCCTGGCCTAGCCTTCGTCCTCCTGCCCCTGCCAGCTCAGGCACACTCATGCCATGGGCCCAGTGGTAACTTGCTCTTCCCTCGTGTGACCAGAGCCCTTGGACTCATTCTGGTGACTAGTGAGTTGGTCCCAGGTCCACCCAAAGGAAGCATCATGACGTGAGCAGCCCGGGTCCTTCCATAGGTCCCACCACAAACCCAACAAACCCCGTGAGCTGAGAGCAAGAAAGGCTTTCTCATGGCAAGTGGGAGCTGTTCCTGAATGAAGGGGTATAAGGGGACAGGTGACAAAATGTCCATAGCAGCCCTCTGGGGTCCCCTCCTCATGCCTGCTGGGCCTGGGCCTCCTGAGCCAACATAGGTTCCTTCCCTCTGCCCTTCTGCTGGAGCATCTGCCCCTGCCCTCATGGCCTGGGGTATTTGGGGCTCCAGAATCCTCAACAAGACCCCTCTGCTCTGGTGAAGATGGCAGCACAGTGAGATCTTTTAGCACTGACCTCAGCCTGGGCCCATGCCAGCGCCCCAGCCTTCTGTGTTCGTTGGGATTTGTGTCTGTGTTTCGTATATAGGGAAGATGGAGCCCTGGAGCCTCGTAGACCAAGAGTTCTGACCTTATTTTATTTTATTTATTTATTTTTTTGAAAGATAGAGAGAATTTTTTTTTAATATTTATTTTTTTAGTTTTCAGCAGACACAATATCTTTGTATGTGGTGCTGAGGATCGAACCCGGGCCACACGCATGCCAGGCGAGCGCGCTACCACTTGAGGCATATCCCCAGCCCCTGACCTTAGTTTATTGGAACAGCCAATCCATGGCCCCCAGAATCCTTGGGTGGCCTAAGATGCGGAAGTAATTGCATTTATGTCGAGATCCTTTCCTGCTTTGTGTGCGTGTGTGATGGGGCGCCCTATTATTCATGAACCTGATTCTAGGCTGGTGTTTTGGCATCTTTATCTGGCAGAAGAAAGCATCAGCCTCTTGCACAAGTTTTTGGTTAGAAAAGCTCCCAGTTCAGAAATGCCAGTCGTCCTTCCTTGTGACACAGACATTGCTCTGAAACCTTCCTGCCGATCTGTTCCCGATGGGGCCTGCTCTGGCTCTCTTCTTGGGTCCCAGCCTTCCTTTGTCCCTTCCTGCACACTTCGGTGCCTCCCAACTTCCTGTACTCACCTGACCCTGCGTGTCAGCGAGCCCCTCGCAGGACCCACTGGGACACCCTCCACAGAGCCTAGCACACCACGGTGTTCTCACTAGTGTATCTCCTCTCCTGGGGTGAGAATGGGCCTGGTGGACCCTGAATCTGTCCCTTCTGCCAGCTTGGTGGTGTTTCCTTGGGTCTCCTGGGTGGGGAGCTGGTGCTGAGGGGGAGGCAGGCAGGGTCTGCCGTGTGGAGGCTCTTCGCAGCATGGATGGTGCCACAGACTGGGACAGGACTCAAGGGACAGGCATGTGTCCAAGGGCTTCTGCTCGTGGCTACATGGGCTGGCTCCTAGAGCAGTAGGAAAGAGCAGGATCAGAGTGGATGAGACCTGGGCTGCCCTCAGGGGGCTCCCACTCCAATCCTGGGCCTGGGCCTGGAGTCTTACGTGTTTAGGGTGGCAGTAACTATCACTGGTGCCCGTGGTGGCAGTACCGTCCTCATTCTGCAGATGAAGCAGCACAAAACAGAGAAGATACCTCTTGCCAGTTGGCAGCTGGTCAAGGCAGAGGCAGGTCCAACTCCAGAACCTGCCCTGTAGAGGGGCAGATCTGCCCCCCGCCATGGCTGGTATGCCTACCTGGGCCTCTTACCCAGTGGCTGGCTTGGAGGTCACTTCCTCTGGTCACTCTGTTTTTCTTACAGGGGAGAGCGCCCCCACCTGCACTTGACAGGAGCCCCTCCTGGCCAGGATGGGTTGGCCATTGAGCCAGGCTCAGCAGGCCCTAGCTGAAATGGAACAGTGGGGTTCCTTCTAGGGGTCCATGTCCAGGGCAGGGGAGAGCCCTGGTGAGCACATATGCCCTGTGGGTCCCCAACCAGGCACCAACCAAGCCCTTCCTTTCCCCCTGGGTGTGGCACCCACACCCTGAAGTCCTTGGCACCTCTGGTAGGGCCACCAGCACCCACTTCCTTCCTCCACAGAGAGAAGCTGGACTCCTTCCTCCCTGCCCATCTCTGCAAACGGGGCCACGGCTTCTTTGCTGCCTTCCGGGGCCGCAGTGCCAAGTCTGGGACGGGCGAGCAGGGCTTGCTGAACGCCTACCGCCAGGTCAAGGAAGCAGTCGGCAGCAGCGACAGCGGGCAGGAAGCCACCCTGGGCTCCCACTACCGTGCCTACCTCCTCAAGTGCCACGAGCTGCCCTTCTACGGGTGAGCAGCCTCGGCCCTGGCGCCCCTGCTCACAGCCCGGCAGGCTTGTCCAGGCAGCTGCCCGTGAGCCCCTGGAGCCCCAGCTGCTCTGTCCTTCCTGTGAAGCGCGGTCTTGGCATGAGCGCTAGGCCTAAGCCGGGTACCTGTGCTCCCCGCTCCTGTCCCAGGCCAGGACACCTGGATGGCTCTCCTCCCACCTGCCATGGTCACTTAGTCACTGGCCTGGCCGAGCACCCGCACTCAGCTCTCTGGCTCACCCGGTCAACGTATCACAAATAGCTGCCGCGCACCTACTGCACGCTGGGCACTCTGCACTGAAGGGACCTCACGAGCCAGAGGCCCTGTGGTCCCTGCCTAGTGAAGCTCATGTGCGAGGCGGGGGAGAGAGGGGGTCACCTGCAGGCAGGCATGGCAGCCAGGCGAGTAGAGGAGGGTGTGGCAATGAACCACAGGCTTGGCACAGGCCCAGTGGTAATGACAGAGACCTGAGACAGACATAGTCAGGTCGGGATGATCCCTAGAGACCAAGCGCCGCATGCTGCACTGCTGCAGCTTCGAGTCCTGTGCGCGTGCACTGTTGGGCTCGCCCTCGTTGTTGAGGCTGATGATGGACATCAGCCTTGCTGAGGTGGGACAGGTGGAAGAGGGGTGAGGGCTTGGCAACCAGTGCCACTGGCTTCCACAGTTGTTTTTTTTTTCCTCTCACTGTGTGTTGGGGATGGAACCCAGGGCCTTGTGCATGCTAGCTAGGCAAGCACTCTACTAGCTCTACTACTAAGCTACACTTTACTTTTTAGGTACTGGGGATTGAACCCCGAGGCTCTTTATGACTGAATCACATCCCTAGCACTTTTTATTTTGTATTTTGAGACAGGGTCTCACGAAGTTGCTTAGGGTTTTGCTAAGTTACTGAGGCTGGCCTCAAACCTGTCCTCCTGCCTCAGCCTCCTGAGTTGCCGGGACTACAGACGTGTACCACTATGCCCAGCTCCCTTCTCAGCCTTTTTCTTTCTTTCTTTGTCTGGTTTTTTGTCTTGTCTTGTTTTGGGTGGTGCTTGGGATCGAACCCAGGGCCTCGCAAATGTTTGGCTATTTCTCTAACACCCCTTCTCAAGTCTTTTTTTTTTTTTTTAATATTTATTTTTTAGTTGGATACAATATCCTTTTTTATTATTTATTATTTATATGTGGTGCTGAGCATCAAACCCAGGCCTCCCACATGCTAGGCCAGCGCGCTCTCGCGCTCTGCGGCTGAGCCACAAACACCCCCCCCTCCAACCTTCTCAGTCTTAAGCCTAGAAAGTTGTTACCGGGCCGCCCTTCACTTCTCTTTTGTCCCAGCAGGTCCTTGCTGCTCAAGCATCTTTGTCCTGGACAGTGGGCAACAGGGCTCTGTGGCTACTTCTAGTGACCTTAGCCTTGACCCCCAGGCCAAGTCCCAGGCTCCAGGCATTCCTGAGCGCAGCTTGCTTTGTCCCCCTTCCTGGGTTCGTGCTCTCTCCTGTCTCTTCTGCCCTGTGCCACCCAGTCCCTTATGTCCTGCACTGCTGGCTTATATGCCACCACCCCCATGAAACCTCCCCTCACCCTGCTCAGTTCTTCCTCCTCCAGAGCAGGCTTCTGTTTAACCCAAACAGATTAAGCCATCTTAGAGCACAGAGCGGTCCTCCCCAGTGTGCCAAGTGCTGGAAGGAGCGACTGACCCTCGTCTCCTCCCCAGCTGTGCCTTCTTCCATGGCGAGATTGACAAGCCAGCCCAGGGCTTTTTACACCGGGGCGGACGCAAGTCAGTAACTGTGGCCATCAGTCTGGAAGGCGTGCATGTCATCGACAGCAGGGAGAAGGTATGGCCTCCAGTGCCCTGGGGTGGGACCTTAGGCCACCTCTGTGGGTCAGAAGGGAGTGAGGGTCTTGCCCAGGCATTCCTAGTTCCCCTGGGCCTATTACAGTGAATGGACTGTGCCTCCCGCTTGTCCCTGGAGGCCTGCTTCCTCAGGTCTGCTCTGGGTCAGCTTTTCTGCCTCAGGTACTGGGCTGCACGTGGCCAGAGCAGGGAGGAAGCTGCAGCAGGGATCTTCCCTTTGAGCTTAGGAAGTCAGGGTGCCTGGCTGCTCTGCTTGGCCAGTGGTGGAGTCCAGCTGCTGGCGTTCCAGAAAGACCCTACGGCTGGGAGCCCAGGGGGGGACCCAAGGCCCGCTGTTCCCTGGTCGTGGCTGGCTTGCCTGTGTCTGCCAGTGTAGGCGTCTGTGACAGCTTCCCTGCACTTGGGCACAAGTACCCTCCCAAACTGGCTGAAGAGTTTTGACTGACATCCCTTTGTCCCAGGCAAGGACTCCAGCCCTTCCTGGCCGGCTGGTCTCATGGCAGAGACCTCCCTGTCCCACTGCCCCCTCCCTGAGGTGACTCAGCAGTCAGGGCCCTTGCCCCACGGGTGGGAGCCTGAGGAATAAGGTTCTCGGCCTCCCTGGACCCCAGCCCCCAGGAGCATGCCGGATGCCGGCTCCCCTCCTTAGAGAAACACATGGAGGAGTTTAGACAGCCCAGAGAGACAAACACCCCAGCAGGAGTCCCCTCCAGGCTGAGGCTGAGTGGGACAGGGTGGGGTGGCCACTGCCAGGTGAGCAAGCCTCGCTCTCCCCCCACCCCCCAGCACGTCCTGCTGGGCCTCAGCTTCCAGGAGCTGTCCTGGGACCACACCTCCCCCGAGGAGGAGGAGCCTGTGTTGTGGCTGGAGTTCGATGGGGACAGTGAGGGTGTGCCTGTCAACAAGCTGCTCAGGATCTACTCCAAGCAGGTAAGTGGGGAGCATGTAGTGGTGTCACCCCACAGGGCGGGCTCTGCTGGGCCGGGGCTGGCAGGGGAGGACTGCCCTGCAGCTCTCACAGCCCGAGGTGGTGGCAGTGGCAGCTGCCCTTGGAGCAGCTGTTCCTTGAGGCTTTTGCAGTTCCGCATGAGCAGCTGCACTATCTTCTCCTGTGCTCAAGGCCCCATGAGGTCAGCGCTGTGGCTACTCCAGGTCTCAGATGAGGAGCACAGACATTAAGGTTCAGCCTTCAGTGAGCTTCTGTATGTGGCCTGTCCATGTACCCAGCGAACCTTTGGCCCCAACCTCCATTCCCCTGCGCCTCCTCCCACCCTGGTTGTCGGATCCCTTGAAGGGTTGTTCTTGCTCCTCCTCTCCTCTCTTGGCATGTAGATGAGTTCAGGGATTCCCATCTTTAAAAGCACATGTCCTCTCCCGCAGGTGGCATCGTAGGTCTTACCAAGAGGTGGGAAACAACCAGTGTCCCATCGGGGTGGATGGGTCAACCAGTTGTGCTCCACCCTTCAGTGTAACGGATGCAGCCTTCCGAGGCTGGTTCTCTGCACTGAGCAGCATGATTCTGAGGCTCATCCATACACTTGGTTCTCTTTGGGGGAGGGGGTGGTGCTGGGATGGAACCCAGTGCCTCCAGCCATGCTAGGCAAGCAAGCGCCCTAACACTGCCCAGCCCCTGTTCATTCCCTTTATTCTCAAGTGGGTTTCCATTGCCCGACGTACAGCAGTTCACCCTCTCACCCACTGGGGAGGTTTGGTTCTCAGTTTTTTGGTTTTATTAGTAAAGCTGCTCCAAACATTTATGTATAGGTTTTATGTGGGCATAGGTCTCCTTTTGTATAAAAACCTGGGAGTGAGATTTCTGGGTTGTGTGATAAACACGATTAACTTTAGGACCTCCCAGAGTGGGTTCAGTGCCACATGCCTGTAATCTCTGCAGTTTGGGAGGCTGAGACAAGAGGATTACAAGTTCAAAGCCAGTATTAGCAATTTAACAAGGCCCTAAGTTACCTAGTGAGACCCTATCTGAAAATAAAAAAAGAGCTGGGGATGTGGCTCAGTGGTTAGGCACCCCCATGTTCCCAGGTACAAGAAAACAAGTTAATGGACTTCAGATTTTCACAAAATCATGTTCAGCCTACAGTTAAGTCTTGAAATTTTAGAACTTTGATTTGTTTGTTTTTGCTTTTTCAAAGTTGTTTGGGGACCAGCCATGGTGGTGTACACCTGTAATCACCAACTTGGAACGCGGAGGCAGGAGGATCACAACTCGGCAAGACCCTGTCTCAAAAAAATAAAAAATAAATTAAAAGGAGTAAGGATGTAGTTCAGCGGTCAAGCACTCCTGTGTTTAATCCCCAGTATGAAAACAAATTTATTTTGGCTATTTTAGTTCCTTTGCAATTTCAATATGAATTTTATTTTATTTTATTTATTTTATTTTTTTAGTTGTTGATTGACCTTTATTTATTTACTTATATGTGGTGCTGAGGATCAAACCCAGTGCCTCGCATGTGCTAGGTGAGTGCTCTACCGCTGAGCCACAACCCCAGCCTGTTTATTTATTTTTAAATTGGGGGTTGGGATATAGCTCAGTTGGTAGAGTGCTTGCCTCACATGCACAAGGTGCTTGGTTCAATCCCCAGCACCACACACACACACAAATTTGTTGTAAATAGACAGAATGTCTTTATTTTGTTTTATTTTTATGTTATGTGGTGTTGAGGATTGTACCCAGGGCCTCACACATGCTAGGCAAGCGCTCTACCACTGAGCCATGGCCCCAGCCCTCCATATGAATTTTAGAATCAGCATGCTGATTTCTACCCTTCTCCTGTCTGCCCCCCTCCCCCCAAGAATACACTACCCGGGATTTGTTTTTGTTTTTTGGTACTGGGAATTGATCCCAAGAATCTACCAATGAGCTACATCTCTAGTTCTTTTAATTCTTATTTTTAAACAGGATCTTAATAGGTTGCCTTGAACTTGGGATCCTCCTGCCCCAGCCTCTCAAGTAGCTGGGCACCACCTGGATTTTGATTAAGATTGCATTGACAACTTTGGAGATAACTGACTGGCTTCAGTCCACTCATTTCTACTTTGGGGTGGGGGGGGTTTCTGAGGATGGAACCCTAGGCCTCATGTGTGCTAGGCAAGTGCTGTACCACTGAGCCACACCGCCAGCCCCCACTTATTTCTGTATCTCCCCCATTTAATTGTCTTTGGTTTCTTTCATTAGCATTTTGTTAGCTTTATGCCCTTTTCTTTCCATTTTTTGCCCTCTGCTCTGTGTCTGGTAGTACTCTTGCCATTTTGATTTCCAGTCATTCACTGTGGCACATGGACAGCAGCCGTGTATTCTGCAGCCTTGTTCAGCTCACTCACCTAGTCTGGTGGTATTCCTGCAGGCCATTATATTGTTTGTGAATGGGGACAATTAGAGTTGTCACCTTCTGATTTGTCTGCCTGTCGCTTGTCCTGCCTGGTGTTCACAGACTGAGCGGACATCCCAGCCTGCCCTGGTCTGTGGGAAGACCTGGTTTTGCCCAATGTGAGAGCGACCTTAGCTGTAGGCTCCTCCTAGCCCCTTCATGGGGCCGAGGAGCCTGCGTGCTGGTCATCCCCAGGGCCTGGAGAGTGCAGTTCTGTGAAGGGGTGTTGTAAATGGGGGTTGCATTGTGACCTACCAAGCATTAAGCTCTGCCTCAGCTCTTGTTCCAAGGAGCTTAGGGTGCTCCTCATTGGGTTTGCAGTTCATGTAGGACTGTCCCCCCCAGCTGCCACCTGTGCACAAGCCCACTGCCCGCTCTTGGACAGTGAGAGAAGAAGGACCCTGTGGACATGCCCAGAGGGCAGTGCGGAAACTAGGCCTCAGCTGCTGCTCTTCCTCTCGGGCCAGGGAACTGCCCACTCTCCCACTCCTCCCGAGGGCACGCTGTGCTGTTGCTGAGGCCTCAGGCCACACTGGGGATAGTTGGGCTGGACCAGTACAGGGGCTACCAGCAGGTACCCAGCCCATCTCCACAATCAGTTCTTGGTCCTGGGGGCCTCTCGGAAGCACAAGAGCTTGACTCCCCCTGCCATTTCCCAGTCCCTGCAGCAACACCTGGCTCACAGTAGATGCTCAAAGGGGTGCCACCCTTGGACAGCCTTCTGTCTGTGACACCCTGAGAAACCGAGGTCTCTGTATTGTGTCCAGCTATGGCCGCAGACATCTGGCTACCTCACCTTTTATGTCAGTGTGCATTCTGTTTTTAAATCTATTAGAAGATGTCACTTTTGAAGAATGTGCTCAGAGGGAGCCACCCCCACCAGTGACAACACCCCACTTCCCCAGGCCTGCAGGTGCTCCCAGCCAGCACACAGTGGCTTTCTGTAGCCGAGCGCCCCCTCCCTTCCTCACCCTCTCTGGAGCTGCTGAGTTTCTGGAAGCCCAGCCGGGCTTCTCCTCCTGCTCCAGCCCACACAGGCAGCCTTCCCAGGCTGTGCCTTCTGACTGGAATGTTCTTTCTTTTCCACGTCACCTCCCAGACCAGGGGACCCTGCCTCAGCCTCCTGAGTCACTGGGATTACAGGTGTGTGTCACCATGCCCAGTGCACCCGGCCTCACCTCTGGAGTCTTCATGTGGGACACCTCTCCTGCCCCCTGGTCCCCAGAGCACCCACTGCAGCCCTCCTTCCTGCCTTGGGAATGGTGTGGTTCCTAAGTCCTCCCACCTCCTCGCCACTGCCCCCACCCTCCAAGAGGGCAGGGCCTTGGGTCTGTATATCTGATGTCACTTAGCCATGGCCATGGCAAGGCTGGGCCACAAGCCTCACGCTGGCCCTGCTCCTCTCCCAGGCCGAGCTGATGAGTGGCCTCATTGAGTACTGCATCGAGCTGAACCTGGCCTCAGAGCCCGCTGCTCCCCAGGAGAGCACATCCGGCCCCCGCTCGGCCGCGGGGCCCTCACCACCTCCCACTCAGCGCCCCAAGCTGCGGAGGCAAGGCAGTGTGGTGTGCAGCCGGATCCAGCATCTCTCCACCATTGACTACGTGGAGGACGGTGAGCCACCCATCACATCCACGCACGCACACTCATGCATGCCCCAGGGACTCCATGGGTGGAAAGCTCTGGAGCCATGGGTTAGCCTGCGTGCACTGCCACACCTAGGTTCTTTGTACATCTTGGTAGCATTTAAATTTCTTTCTTTCTTTTTTTTTTTTTTTGTTACTGGGATTGAACTTGGGCACTCGACCACTGAGCCACATCCCCAGCCCTATTTTGTATTTTTCTTTTAGAGACAGGGTCTCACTGAGTTGCTTAGCATACCACCATTGCTAAGGCTGGCTTTGAACTCGGGATCCTCCTGACTCAGCCTCCCCAGCCACTGGGATTACAGGTGGGCACCACCATGACTAGTCCCAGCCCTTGTTTTATTTTTTTATTTATTTATTTATTTATTTTTAGAGAGAGAGAGAATCTTTTTTGTAGATGGACACAACACAATGCCTTTATTTTTATGTGGTGCTGAGGATCAAACCCGGGTCTCGCGTGTGCTAGGGACTTTTCTTATTTTTTTAGAAAAGTTCTAAGTTGCTTAGGGCCGTGCTAAGTTGCTGAGGTGGCTTTGAACTCAGATCATCCTGCCTCAGCCTCCTGAGTTGCTGGGATTTCAGGTGTGCATCACCATGCCCAGTGCATTTAAATTTTTTAATGTGAAGCCAGGCATAGTGGTGCACACCTTAATCCCAGCATTTTAGGAGGCAGGAGGCCAGCTTCAGCAACTTAGGGAGACCCTGTCCCAAAATAAAATTAAAAGGGCTGGGGACATAGCTCAGTGACAGAGTGCCCCTAGTTTAATCCTTAGCACCAGAAAAAATTTTTTTTTTTTTTTTTTTAACCAAGAAGCATGTTATTTTGGTCTTATTTCCAGCCAGTTATTATAGACAACTTACCTATAACTGATTTCTTCCTTGGATTCTGAACTGTCTCCTAAGAGTAAATTCCTGGGAGTGGACTTACTGGGTCCGAGGGTGTGCAGGGTAAGGCTTTGGATACCTGCCACCTTCCAGAGAGGCTGTGCCCATCCGTGCCCTCCCATCAGAGACAGGAGCCCTCTCCACCTTCACCCTTCACCTCCAAGGCCATGTCTGCCTTGGAGAGAACTCTTGGTGTCTGAGTACCAGTGAAATCGGAGCATTTTCATGCACCTGTACACATGTATATTTCCTTCATGAATGACTGTTCATTTCTTTTGCCCATTTTTGTTCTGTTGCTTTTTTTTTTAACCTCTTGAGATCAGTGGACCCTGGGCTCTGACTCCAGCCCTGCAAAAACAAAACAATGAACATCTTACACGAATAGGGGATGTGTAACAACTAGAGTTTGATGTTATTGTTAACGAAAGCTCACACTTCATTCTGATTTCCTTGGTTTTTGCCTAATGGCCTTCTGTCCCAGGGTCCTAGCCAAGAGACATCACAATTAGTTGTCTCCTTAGGCTTCTCTTGGCTGTGACAGTTTCTCAGACTTTCCTTATTTGGTGACCCCGACTGTGTCATACCAGTTGAGGCTTTGGTAGAAAGCCCGTGCTGGGGTTGGTCTGTCGCCTGGGCTCGTGAGTTCTGGGAGAGGAAGACCACAGAGGCCAGTGCTGTCTGTATCGCTGTCAGAGGTGCCCACGGTCTGCGTGCGGCTAGCCGTCGACCTTGATCACCTAGCTTGACGTCAGTAACTTGAGAGAATTCTTTGTTTCCTGGGATTGTCTTTAGTCACTTGTGTCCGTGGCAGGAATTTGGCTTCTTTGGTCAGTTGAAAAGGTTTATGGCAGGTTCCTCGGACAGCTCTGCTGGCCCATGATAAAGCACAGGGCCACTGCCTGGGATTTGGAGCCATGTGTCCCCCCTCATCCTGTTACCTGTGGTAGAGCTGGAGGGTGGATGGGTCTAAAGTGGGCGCTCAGTCCAGACAGGCCCCAAGAGAGCCGTCCACTGGAGACAGACACGGCTTCCTGGGGCCTCAGCACGTGCCTCTGGCTTCCCCACAGGCAGGGGCATCAAGCGGGTGAAGCCGAAGCGCACCACGTCCTTCTTCAGCCGGCAGCTCTCCACGAGCCAGGGCAGCTACACCGTGGTGCAGCCCACCGACAGCCCGGAGCAGGGCTGAGGGCAGCCGTCCTCCCAGGCCAGGGCCAGGCCGAGTCGTCTCCAGAGCTGAGCGTGTGGCGGAAGCCACCTTGGCCATTCAGGGCCTGCTGTGTCAGACCGTGGAGAGGTGGTTTCTGTGCCTGGGATCGTACTGGACTGCAGCGCTGGCCAGCGGCCTCCCGCAGGTCCCTATAACAACCTGCCCTCCCTTGCCCGCACTCTGGGCTCAGCTGCTGTCTCAGGACCACCTGATGGGGCCCCAGCTGCCCCCTCGTACCCCAGACACACCTTCATGCCCATCTCAAGGTGGACAGTGTCCTCTGCTCTGAAAGTACTGCTGGCAGCTTTGAGGGCCGAGGATCAGGGCTGGACCTGCAGGTTCAGTGTGCCTTTGATTTTCCCCTGGACTTGGGTGACCATGTCTGGCATTCCTTCTGCGGCATTCCACCCACACCACAGGGTGGGCTGGCACTCCGAGGAAGTGGGAGGGCCTCCTGGGACTGGACCATGCCGAAGAAGGTGAGGTCCCCCTGGCACCCCTGCCTGGCTGAACGGGACTGGCAGGGTGCCCCCTGCACTCAGGTGACCCTGTGGGCACACAGGATACTAAGCAGAAGGAAAGTGCCTCTTTGTTAGTCTTTAATGTCACTGCTGGGAAGTGGCTGGCTTGTCCAGCAAGCCCACCAGACCCACACTCCACACTGGGAAAATCTCCTGAAAGCCCTCTGTCACTCTCCTAGGCCCAGGCCGTTCCCCCACCCCAGGGCCAGGCGTCTGCGGCAGGTGGGGTCCCCCTCCCCTGCTTTGGTGAAGCCTGTGAACCTTGACAGCACCAGGAGGCGCCCTCTGCTCCTCAGAGCTGAGAGTGCCTTCAGCAATGCTGGGGGTTCCCTGGGGGACAGTCCCTACAGGAGACCTGCTAGCTAGTCTCTTCCCCTCCAAGGACATTGACAAGGGGACTTGGATACAGGTGCTGCCTGCTGTCCCAGTTTTGTCCTCCTGGCAACAGTGGCTTTGTGATGGGAATTATCTGGGAGGAGCCAGGCTCTAGAGGGAGGGCTTTCCGGGCCCTTGGGCTTGTCTGTGGTCTGTGGCTCTCAGTGCCAGGAGAGCAGGCCTGGGTGGCACAGGGCTTGCTCTGCAGTCCCTTCCCAGGGGAGAGCGGGGAAGTGCACACCTCTCGTGCTACAAAAATGAGATCCGCTCACCTCCCTTGGTAGCTTGTGAGGCCCCAGATGTTTCAAGGCGGTTCTGCCTCCCACAGCAGGGACATTATTGTCTTAGTGAATAAGTGGAGAGAGGAGGCCTGGGAGGCTTCTTCAGCCTCTTGGGGTGTCCCTGCTGCGGGACAGCATGAGCTGCTGTGTCCTGCTGCCCCTCCTGGAGTCATGTGACCTCCTGGAGCTGCCAGCTGTCCCTCAGCTCCAGCCCTCTGGTCACTTGGGGCCCACTGACTGTCACTGCACTGTATTCTTATCTGATGGCCGAGGGGCATGGCCGGTGTGCATCCGGGTGCAAACACTGCATGTTTCCCTTCAGCCTTTCTCACTTCCTAAGCATCCATTGTGCCTTAACCTTCTCTGCCTGCCCTTTGGGACAAAGCAGTATTCTACTAAATGTCCTCCGAATGTCCTCATTCTTTTGTATCATGTGACTTATTAATAAACCCATTTCTAGCAAACTTTGGAGTGGTTTATGAAATACTGAGGGTGTGTTATTGCAGCCTGGGACTTGATTGCCCGCTGCCTGTTTGGTTTTTACTAAGTACGTGTCAAGCCCTCAGGGCTGCCCCACCAGCCCTGGTGGTCCACTGGCGCCCCCAGGGAAGGGTGATTCAGGTGGGCTCTGCAGAGTCCCATACCCTCCCTTGGGCTCCTTGTGTCCTGGGCCTAGCCAGAGGCCATTTGTTCCCCTGAGATCCTGTTAGCAGCACCCAGTTTGGAGGGCAGGGACAGTGTCACACCCACCCTGGAGCACAGTGGGCCTTGCAGGAGGCTGCCACAGCAGTGACACAGGCTCCTCCAACAGGGAGGGGCCCTAGAGATGGGGGGCACGGCACGTGCTCCCACAGCAGTGTGGTTCTGGGACTGGGGCTGTCTCCTGGACATTCCTGACAGTGAATGGTGCCTTGTGCACTGTGTGGCCTCTGCCTGATCCAGACACAGGATGCCATGACCACAGGTACAGCCTGAGGCTCTGAGTTGGGTCTGTTTCTTGAATTTTCAGTTGGAAATAATAACAGTGCCCACCTCGAAGGGTTGTCGGGCACTTTAGTGCTGGCATGGGTGGGCGGGCAGCAGGGGTCAACTCTCACATTTCAGTTCTGTGGGAGGCTGGGAAGGAGAAGAGGGCCATAGGAGCAGCCCAGGCCAGTGGTAACATGGTGTATGACCCCAGACCTGCTGTGTCCCACCCCCAGTGTCACTTCTGTGAACAATCACTACAGTCTTAATGGCTTACACCAGAACATCCAGGATCTCGCAGTTCTGCAGGTGAGAAATTCAGCATGGTCACGAGGGACTGGACTGACTCCCGAGGCTCCAGAAAACAGTCTTGGCCAGCTCCTGAGGCCACTATATTTCTTGGGTGCTGGCCCCTTTCTCATTAGCCGTCAAGGCTAATGACAGCTGAGTCCTCACATCACACATGTTAAACATCCACCCTCTCATGTCTTCCTCCATCTGTTCTGGTCCCTCTTCAGCCTGTAAGGACCCTGTGATGACATTGGATCAATTTAAATAATCCAAGATAATCCTCCTGTTGAAGTCAGCTGATACCTGCTGTAGTGGCACATACCTATAATCCTAGGTACTCTGGAGGCTGAGGCAGGAGGACCACAGGTTGGAGGCCAGCCTCAGTAACTTAGACTCTATCTCAAAAAGGACTGGAGATATAGTTCAGTAATAAAGCACCCCTGGATTCCTGGGTTTGATCCCCAGTGCTGGGTGGAAAAAAAAAAAAAGGTATGTGTCAGGCCCCACAAGTCCTGGCTTGGCCTCTGCCTAGTAAATACACTGAATCCATTTGTTTCTAGAACAGACTTGCCTTCTCCTGCCTGGGGACCAGGTGTCCTCTTCTTCCCTCCCTGCCTTGGCTTCCTAGCGCACCCCGGCCCACAGCCCCTTGACCCTCCCCAAAACCTGAACCTGTCAGGTAGACCCCTGTCCGCCCTCCATGCTTGCAGGGCCAAGACCCTGTTCATTGTCTCACAGCCTCACTGCTGTGTGGCCTTGGGTGAGTCACATCACCTTCCTGGGACTCCTTTTCCTCATCTCTAAGATGGGAGCAGTCGTCCTAGCTGCTTCCCCATTGCCGTGTGTGCAGGGCGACGGGAAGTGCTCAGGAGGAATGATGGTTCCCTCCCCATAATGCCATTCCATTCCCGGCTTCCCTAGTTTCCTAGGGCTGCCCTCATAAAGTCCCACTTACTGGATGGCTCAACAGGACAGAAATTAAGTCACAGTTCCAGAGGTCAGAATCCCATAAGCAAGATGCTAGTTAGAGGTGACTTGTGTGGGTTGGTGCTAGAGCACTTGCCTAGCACGTGTGAGGCTCTGGATCCCATCCCCAGCACCCCCACCCCAAAAAGGTGTGGACAGGGGCCTCTTCAGTTCCTGGTCCCCTTCCTGGGCTTGTGTAGTCTCTGCTTTTGAGGTCATAAGGCATTTGGGGGGTTGCGGGGAGGGGGTTGAACTCAAGAGCATTCTACCACCAAGCTACATCCTCAGCCCTTGTTAGTTTTTATTTTGAGATAGTCTCACTAAGTCGCCCAGGCTGGCCTGGGGCTTGCAATCCTCCTGCCTCAGCCTCCTGTCCTGAGTTACAGGAGTGTGCCCCCAAGCCCAAGCCCTACTGGCTGCGTTTCCCCTGTGTTCCCATTTGCATCTATACACACATGCAGCACGTGACAGAGGAGCAGGCCCCACCCAACACAAGACAACCAGGAACGGTAATGGACAAGGAGAGGGTTGGGGATGAAAGAAGGCTTCCTGGAGGAGCCCTCCAGGCTCAGCAAGGTGGAGGTAAAGGCACAAACCAAGAGGGCTTTAGGAAAGCCTGGGCTGTGACCTTGGAGCCTGACACTGACCACCTGACTCAGGGGAGGAGCAGACCCCAGGACAGACTCACTGCTTGTCCTTCTCCTTGGCAGGGAAGCTTCTGAGCCAAAGGGCACTTCCCTGCTCTAGTACAGCCCGTATCTCAGAGAAGGCTGCCAGTTTACCCAATGTATTTATTTATTTATTTTAAAAATATTTATTCTTCAGTTTTAGGTGGACACAATATCTTTATTTTACATTTATGTGGTGCTGAGAGGATCAAACCCAGTGCCTGTGCACTTTACCATTGAGCCCCAGCCCCCAGTTTACCCAATTTAACCCAGAATGGTCGTGCAGGGTGGGCCCTGGTCCCAAAACCTTAGTCTCTCTCTCTCTTTTTTTTTTTTTTTGGTGTGTGTGGGGCTGGGGATTGAACCCAGGGCCTTGTGCACGCGAGGCAGCACTTTACCAACTGAGCTACATCCCCAGCCCTAGAACTTTAGTACTCTTAAGTAGCAAGTCTTAAGTTGTTTGGTTTTTTTGTTTTGTTTTGTTTTGTTTGTTTAACCAGGGATTGAATCCCAGAGTGCTTAACCACTGAGCCACATCCCTTTTTATTTTTTGAGACAAGTTCTCCCTAAGTTGCTTAGGGCCTCGCTAAATTGCTGAAACTGGCTTGGAACTTGCCTCCTCCTGCCTCAGCTTCCTAAGCAACTAGGCTTATAGGCCTGCGCAGAGAACCTGTTCCTCTTTAACTCAAGGGGCTGACATTGTGGGGTCAAGCACACCCCTGGTCTTGTGCTGCTTGTGCTGCTCCGACTGCAACCAGCAGGGGGCAGCTGAGCCCGCCCTTTCTTTCTGCTTGGCTGCAGAGGGCACAAGCCTGGCACCGCCCTGCTCAGTCAGGCTGCCTGGAACCATAGTCCTACCTGGTACAGAATCTGAAAGCGCTGCCCACGAATCCCCCAACCACAGCAGGTCCCTGACTTCTGACCTCCCAGAACCGTCCATGATGGGGGCAAGGGTCCTGGCCCTCCAAGAACACCAGATAAGAGGCTTCCTTGGGTGTCCACCAGGAGGGGACATGAGTTTTCCAAAGATCAGGAGCCATGTTCTATAAATAAATTCCACTTTGGAATTCTTTTGTATGTTTTCCGTGAAATGGCAGCTTAGTCAAAATATTTAAAGTCAGGGCCATTTGGGGAAACCGGGGAGGTGGGGTGGGCACACCCTGGCCCCAGTCATCTCCCCCCTTTTCCACCCAGTGCCCACAGGAGCTGCCACCCCAGGGGCCTCCCCAACAGGCCCTGTCCTCCCTCACAGCTGTCCTCTCAGCACCTTCCGTCCCCCACACGTACTAAGCTATCTTAAACTTCCACCTGTTTATTTCTCTCTCTTTGGTGGCCTTGAGAATGCTAGGCTAGCGTTCTACCACTGAGCTACACTTCCAGCCTGCATTTTAAACGATTTCACATAAATATAACTTACAACAGGGACATAATAGTCCCGGCTCTTTTCTAGACTTCTATGTCCCCTGCCATGCAACCTTGATTATTTAGTGGGGTTAGCAGTAACTGCTGATACTCTGAGCCAGTGAGTGCAGGCCTCCCACACAATGTCAAGGTCAGCAGCCACACAGTGTTCCCACTTTACCCCCAGAACTCTGTCCCCAAGGAAAGACTTGCTCACAGGCTGTGCCCAGTTAGACCAATGGGGGGGGGGGCGCAAAAAGGATCCTGCAGAGAGGTTCAAGGACAGTCTACTGCTCCAGTGGGGTCACTGTTAGGGCAGTTAGGTCCTGGCCTAAAGGTTCCTATCAAGAGTCACCTATGTGGAAGCCAGGACTGCCAGGGGTCATGGAAAAGGGAAAGGTTTTCTTGGGGGTTTTGCCAACCTAGAGGTGGGAGCTGGCAGGATGTCCTGGGGCACCCTCCCGGGATTCCTGGTGGGTGGTTTGGAGAGGAGGCTGGAAAGGGAGGACCCAGTCCAATGTGGGTGGTATAGAAAAGTTGGGACTTGCTGGGCTCGGTGGTACTGGCCTATAATCTCAGCTTCTCAGGAAGTCGAGGAGGAGGATCATAAATTCAAGGCCAGCCTGGGCAATTTAGTGAGATCCTGCCTTAAAATGCAATTTTGAAATGGTGCTGGGGAATGAACCACAGCACTCCTGGGTTCACCCCCCACAAAAAAAAAAAAAAAAAAAAAAAAGTTGCTTCTCCATAAAGTCTAAAGAAGAAGCCCCCTTCAGATCTGCCCCCTCAGTGGCCAAGAAAGGGTCTCAGGAACCAGGTGCCCACAGGTAAGACAGTCAAATGCCAACACAGGGGTGACACCTGTAATTCCAGCGACTCTGAAGGCCAAGGCAGGAGGATTGCAAGCTTGAGGCCATCTTGGGCAATTCAATGAGGCTTGTCTCAAAATTAAAAAGGGTGGAGATTAGCTCAGTGGCAGAGTGCCTCGGGTTCAATCCCCAGTACCTGGGGGGGGGGGGGGGGTGGCAGACAGGCCAGTGCATCCAGTCTGCTTTGCAAACAAGGACAGGAGCTTCTGCCTCCATCTGATGCCCTCTCCCTCAATACCTTCTGCCACCAGTGAAGAGAGGCTGCCCTGAGTTCCCCCGGCCACGCATGTGTTCTCAGTTCCCATGCTGCCCTGTTCCTTCTTCTGTGCCTTTGCATTTATGGAGCACAGGTGACCTGGAAACAGCCTCCTGCCTTCAGTCACTCTACAAATATTTATCTGGAGCCTTGCAGTGGTCAGAGTGACCTTTACAGAATGTCAACTGTAAAGTCCTACATTCACCAAGGCCTGCTATAGGTCAGGACCCTGTGGACACAGAGATGTCAACACACCCCACGCAAACCCCTCCCCTCAGGAGATCAAGTTCTGGAGAAGGGGTCTTGGTCAGAGTTGAGAGGTGACCTCAGGGCCCAGGCCTGTGACACAGGCAAAACAATATGCATCAGAATAATGAAATGGGGTAAGCCAGCTGTGAGATCCAGAGCCTGCCCTTGGTCACCTGAGAGGCGGGGGCAGCCCAGAAGAGGCCTGGGGTGTGGGGTTGTTTTCCACTGGGGCTATTTCAAGGCAGGGTGAGGCAAGGCAGTGACAGGAAGGCTCCTGGCCAGCACAAGATGACGGTGCAGTTTCCTGATGCAGACTGAGTCAAGGTGTCTCGGGGCTCAGCAGGAAAGGGTGAGGGGCTCTGGCACCATGAGGAGCCCAAGGTGACCCAGAAGGCCACAGCTCCCAAACTGGATCCTTGGAGGATGGGGGGTGAAGTTCTGGCACATTCTCAAGTGGCAGCAGCAACACTATCATGGTCCTGCCCTTGGAGTAAATCGGAAGCACCATCCTTTCTGAACCCTCTTGTCTTTTCCAGGGGTTCTTGTAGAAAATACCAGGGTCTCTCCCTGGGCTGGTGTGGATATGTTCAGAAACAAGAGCTGAGCTGTCTTCAGAACAAGAGTGGTAGGTTGTCACGAGGGAAGCCTCCGATCTTTATCCTCTGAGGCCAAGGTCTTGGAGAGGGGACCCTGACCCTGGAATGTGGATGTTGCCCAAGTCCCCCACCCCTATCCTTTCGCCTCCAACCCAGAGCCCCTAAACCAGCTGCCTGGGTGGATAAACTGTGGCCACCCCCCCCAGGCAGGGCGGGCCCTCACCACTCAGCCCCACCCAGGGGCCCGAGGTTCTGTTTATGGCAGTTTTCTGAAACAGCTTGTTTTGATCTACAGAGATCTGCTGACGCACTAGCTACCCCTTCTCCCTCCTGCATCAGGGTGGAGTTATTTTTAGCTTCATCGGTAGAGGAATAAAGAAGAACACAGGCCCACCATACTGTGGGCACAGCCCTGTGACCCCAAGGCAGGACAGGGCACCTCTGTGTGGTTTTGAAGCTTCCACTCACCTCTCCTCAGACACATTCCTCTTCTGAGGAAAATGAGCTGCGTAGAACTAGGAGGCCTGGACAGTTTCCAAACACCAACTCTGAAACTGTGTTACTTTGTCCTTGGAAGAGGGTGGCTGGGGCAGCTCCAGAGGAGAGGGCACAAAGGAGCCTGATACTGCATGGAGGGGCCTGGGCTTTATAGAACCCTGTGCATTGAGCATTGCCAGTTACCCCTCCTCCTACTCTTTGGAAAAGTCTAAGAAAGCTTGTGTCTGGGATTTGGGAACAATGTGTGTGAACGAGGGCGAGTTTTGAGAAGAGAAATAGAGAAAAACAAGACATCAACTTGGGCCCTGGAAGCAGCCAACAGTAGTGACTATGCATCTCTCGGATGCTAGCAGGTAAGAGCTGATGCCACAGCCTGGTACTGGGAAGCAGCAGGGTGATGTCACTTGCTGGGTTTCACACACACCTCTCAGCTTTCTAGAACATTCTGACAGGAACAGTCCCTTCTCCACTGTTCTTTCAGGCCAAGTCACCCACCCCTGGAAAGGATGCCAGGCAAGATTGATGGGCATAACCTGGAGAAGGGCAAGCAGAGCCTGGGGACTCTCCATGGATAAGCCACCAGCCAACAAGCCCGGGCTTGCCACATACTCAGCCTTCTGTGTTGACAATCACATGAGAATGAGTCACCAGTTTTCCCAGAAGCAGGAGAGGGGTGCGGCGGAGCCCCGCCCTGCCTGCAAATGCCATCTTGCAGAGGCAGGGGAAAATTTCTATCTGGATTCCTCCCTTGTCGTCAAGGGAGCCTGTTGTCACAGGGTGGTTTGTTTGGGGTGTGGGCGGTTGGCCTGGGAGGAGACTTCCTGGCAGTAATTCTGCCCGATGAGACGCTTTCTACCACCTACCCCAGGGGCGGGCCTTGAACCAATAGGTGCCCCATGGGGGTCTTCTCGGCCTCCTCCTCACCCTGGCCCCATATGGTAATGGAAGGCCGATTATTCTTTTCAAAACCCTCACAAAATCCTTAGCCCTGCCAGCCTTTTGACCAGGTTGCTTTTGGCAGGCTGGCATCCATGCCTTGTAGGCAGTCAGCCCGATACCTCCAGAAGCCACTAGACCCACTCCTTGGGGCCCATCACAAGCCACAAGCTGTCCCGGACCAGTGCTGAGGTTTTTGGTTTGTTTGTTTGAATCACTTTTCTCCCCCCACTCCTCACCCCAAAAGCAAAGTGAGTTTTAAACCTACACCTATCTGGTCTCGGGCCCTACAATTGCCCATATTGTTTTCCGCATAAACTTTTGCCATTAATACGCCACTCACTCATCTCGCTAAATATTCTATCCAGCGGCCTAATTAACTGCTGTTAGGGAATGCTTCAACTCCCCGGGTCCCTGCTGACCCGCAGGGACAGGACCAGGGACACGGCTGCACCCACCCGCCCCCTGCCATTTAAGCAACAAAGCAGGGCGTCTCGGCCACGCGCGCAGTGGGTACAGTCTGCTGTGCAGGTCACCGCGTTTCCCTCGAGAGGGTCGCGTTCTCCGGGGCGTCCCCGCCCCCACCGCGAGCGCCGGGGCGCTGATGTCACCGGCCGAGCACGCGGCGGCGCCACCCGGGAGTCACGCGCTGCCGCCCGGATAGTGCTGCGCCGCCGCAGAGATCCCTCCGCCGCCCCTGGAATTTTCCAGACGCTCTGCCGGCCCTTCTTTCGGGCCTCTGCTGGGCGGGGTGACCCGAGGCGACCCCAACTCCCTCGGTCGGCTCCGAAGCGCTGCCCCTGCACGCCCCCCCCCCCCGCCCCGCCCCACCTGAGGAAGGGACTTCTCCCCGCGGCCACTGCCTCCCAAATGTGACGTTGGGATCTGTCCCCAGGAAGGCCTGTTACTAGAAAAGGAGGGATAATTAGGGAGTGGCCACCAAAGGGAGACCGTGAACCGCCCCTGGTTGGCTTCTTGGGCGGGGTGGGGAGGGACTTTTTTTCCGGTGTCAGTGGAGGAATCGTCCCGTTGAGTAGTGTCTTGTGACGCGACCCGGGACTATAAAAGCAAAAGTTGTGGCCCATCCAGCAGGAGTTAGCGACAGGCAGGGCTGGCGCCTGGGTGTAGTGGTGGGGCGGAAGTGACCAGTTCAGGGTCTCAGGGGACACAGGCAGGAGATGGCAGAGCTAGAGGGGGTGGGGGTGCGTGGGGAAGGAGGGCTGAAAAGGAGCTTAGATGTGGGGGGCTCTGCAGCGCGAAGGCCCACAGCACCCCGCGAGGCCGCAGCAGCTCTCGGGCCTCGCTGTCCCTTCCTCTACTGCTGCTGGAGCGGGGATTTGACTTCCAGGAGGCCGAGGTCCTTCCATGGGCCTAGCTGGCCCTGGTGGCCTGGTTAACGTGGAGGAGGAAGGCAGGCTGAGGCGGGAAGAGGTGGAGACTGGCCTAGGCAGTGGTCGTTGGCAGGCAGGGTCGCAGGCCCGCAGCTGGGCGGGGAGGGCCGACTTTGAAACTTGTCAATACCAGCAGCCCCGTTTTTTTCCAGACAAAGGGTTGTGAACCTGCCTGGGGATGAAGCCTGGTCTTAAGGAAACTGGACTTGGCTTCGCGGGCCTGACAGCTCTGGCCCAGGGTGGTATGTAAACAGGGCTCACCCCGGAGCCCAGGAGGTGAAGGGTGGCCTGAGGAGTGATCACGATCCAGTGTGCCATTGCCAACTGTTAACTGGGGGCTGCTGAGGCAGGCTGCTTGTGTCTGGGGACAATATTGACCAACCCTTTATTTTCCAGGTGGCAGTACCCTCCCCTCTGGACTTCCCTAGGTTCGATGCTAAACTCTTCTGTGAGCTCACTCTACCCCTCCTCCTCCCTCTAACTCTCTTGAGGTTATCCCTTCACTTAAAACCTTGCCTCTGGTCATCTGGTAAGCCTGGTGAAGTCGCAGGAGTGTTCTTGGACTCGGTATTGTTGGTAATGGTGCAGAAGGAAAGGCCTTCCCGGTGGAGCCTCTGGGGGGTGGGTTGGTGTTGCTTTTGGAGAGGGTGGGGATTGAATGTGCTCCCCTGGGTGGGGCTGCAGCAGTGGTTCCAGCAGAAGTCACCCAATGCCTCATGGACCTGGTTTGTTACTGTAGTGTTCATCATGGCGAGCAGATGGCACCAGGACAAATGGAGCCCCAGCCAGTGTGAGTCGTAGCAGTGCAGGAGGGGAGACCCTGAAGGAGACAGCCCGCTTAAGTTGATGCCTGCAGATTGAATTCCAGAGGCTTAGGAGGAGGAGCAGTTCTCCAGTGTCTTGTGTCCAGGCCTTGCTCGGGATCCCTGTATTCAGGAGGCCAACCGTTAAGGTTTTCAGATGAGCTTGTGGGGGGCAGTTCACAAGTCCAAAGCAGATGCATCGGCTTGAGGGGCCATCACCTTTGAATGTTTCAGCAGCACCATCCTCCAGGCACAGGAATGCCAGCAGGCACCCCTCTTGTCCTGGGGGTGGTTTTCAGATGCTGCATCTTCTAAATTGAGCCTCTGGTCCTTCTAGTTCTGTGCTGTGAACTTTGCTTCCAGAAGATTCTTAAGTTATAGAACATTTTAAAGTTGATCCAACAACCAGCCTGATGCCTTTTAGATGGCACTTGGAGATGGAGCCCAGGGACCTCTCACCTACCCACCTGCTTACCTGCCTTCCTGTCTGCACATTGGCCGGAGGAATTCTTAGTGTGATGATAAAGCTTTTGATTGTTGGGCGGGGCAGGGAGCTGTTCAATTTTAAATGCTTTAGGCAGAGGGAATTTGTTAGCTAGGTAGATTGTCAATCTGTGGGGGCTCATGTGTTGAGCTAAAGTGGGAGGGGACAAGCCGGTCATGCCCAGGAGCTGTGTGTTGGTGGGGGGGTCTTGTCTGGGCATTCTAATGGCATAGAACCTTACAAGAAGGGAATGGTGGGCCCACCAGTAGTGGGTGGGTCATGGGTGTTTTGTTTTCTGGTGCTGCAGATTGAACAGGGCCTTGGGCATTTTAGGCAAATGCTCAGCCATTGAGCTACAACCCCAGCCCAGTTATTTGATTCTCCTCCCCACTTTTTTTTTATACATCTCAGAGTATTCTTGTCATTCCCACTGGGGGCTCTGGGGGAGGGACAGGGGGGCAAGGGCTGGTGGGGATGCAGTGCTGGGAGCATGAGGGTGTGGGATGTGGGTTGAGAGAAAGTATGGGCAGAGATCTGAGGAATTTCATAGAATTTGTGAGTGAAGAAAACACTAGTTAATGGTAAATTATTGGTTAAATGGTTGCATATAAGCAGTGAAAGTTGCTTGGAAATTTTTATAAAAGTGCTTAGAACTTCAAGGAAAGTTCAAGAAAAAAAGCAAAATTGTTTTGCTTTGCTCTAAAGTGGGGAAGACTGAGAAGGTATAACTGAAAACAAGAATATTTAGTTACTTGAAAAATGACATGGAACTTGGTGTCAAAACTATGAGTTTTAAACTCAAGTATGCACTTAAGATGAGATTAATATGGACTTTTCTGGGTTTGTAATTCATATTTTGTCATGGAGATCTCAGTGATTCAAAATTCTGAACAAAATGGAAATGCTTTTGGAGAGGGTGGGGATTGAATGTGCTCCCCTGGGTGGGGCTGCAGCAGTGGTTCCAGAAGAAGTCACCCAATGCCTCATTGACGTGAATTGTTACTGTAGTGAGACAAATGGAAATGCTTTTGGAGAGGGTGGAGATTAAATGATTTTTAAAGGAATTTCATAAGAAGTGCCTTATAGATTTTTCTGTGTTTGGTCAAAACCATAATAGCAAAAGTATTGCTTACTTAACTATAGTCTTGAAATCAGTCATTGTAACAAGGAAAACCTTTTGTGGTCACAGTGAAATTACTATATTTGTTAGCAATCAGAATTATTAATGAATAATCTATTGTATTTTTAGTTTAAATGATCCAGGACTGGGGGGGGGGATGTCAATCAAAACCAGTTTAGGAAATAAAAGCAAACTGGGCAGAAGGGGCCAGCTTAACAGGCAGGCTGTAAGAGCTCCTGTGAGCTGATTTTGTTGAAATGATAGAGTAACTCCAATGGGCTTTATCCTGTTTTTCCACCAAATTTGAACACTTTAAATACCCAATACCTTTTATCCTTAGGACTTTTCCTGTGTTCTGGGTTCCTTTTTTTTTATGCTTAAAAATACATTGGTATGGTAATTCAATTCTTAGCTGGTGACTTGGGTGTGATACAATTACTGTCATTGGAACTTAAAGTATATTAGTCATGCTTGTGTGGGGAAATATTTCTGGGTATGCTGTTGTGTAATGAAAGCTGTAAAAACAGGTGGTTAAAGTACTTGTTTGTAAGGCACGCACTGTTCTGTTCTGTTCTGTGTGTGGTTTCTAACCATTTTTCTTCCCCTTTACAGCACAAATAAAGGTTTGAGTTCCAAACTCCTTAGAATGGTCTTATTGCTGTTATGTTGCCCGACTGTCCTGTCACCTCTGAAGGTGGATGTGTCCCTGTCCTCAGATTGTAGACTGAGGCCTAGATTCATGTTCACTAGTTAGCTCCAAATGTAATCTTCATTGAAAGGGAACTGGTACGTCCTGAGTACAAACTGGTGCCTCAGGAGGAGGGTTGTGCACTGTTGAGAGCTGGTAATGTTTGTGCAAATGTAATCCTGAACCACATGAAGATGAGTGTCTAGGTGGGAGAGTACGTACTTTATAATCTAGAACATTCTCTGGTCATATTTTCAAATGGCATCTATTTTGTTTGGGGAAAACATTCTAAATAAGAATAAAATTGACATGTAATATGTGTTTATTTAGTTTGCATTCTTTGGGAGGCTGGCATGTATCTGTTTAAGCACATAATTCTCATGTTCTCTTTTGGTACATGACTAAAAAGTTTGGGCTTATGTAAGTGCTCTATTGAGCCAGCAAGGTTTTCTGATGGGTGGGGAGGAATCTTGAGTGTGTGTCATGTAAACTGATCTGCATCCTGGGTGGGGAAGTGGCAGCAGTGACTCATCCTGACACTTGTATTTTTATGTGCTGTCCTGTGTACCAGCTTAGAAGAGTTGGAATAGAACACCACTGGCCTTCCCTGAGGGAAGTGTCCAAGGGAGGGAGAGGAAAGCTGGGCGTGCTTGCTAGGGAGGGAGAGGACCGATGGACTGGGACCAGAGCACAGGGAGTTGAGCTACAGGTCAGCCACTGTCTACCTAGTTCCTGAGGGTCTCTTGGTGCCCCCTCCCTTGAGCACTACTGAGAACCCCCAGAAGAGAAAGGTCATGTGCCACTAGAAGGCCCTCCATCTGGTCTCTTGGCACTGCCAGTGGGGGCCACTGCTGTGAGCAATAGTGGTGTCTACAAATAGCAAAGTTGAACTTGAAGTTCTTTTATAAATGAAAGTAGCCTGAGGGCAGGTATGGACTGAGAGTCCTGGGCGCCCAGGCTGGAGCCCCCCGAGAAGTGGCCTGTTACAAAAAGGGGTGAGACAGTCACTGCCCCCAACACCACCCTGTTGGCCACCCTCTGTTGGTCTTACTGATCCTGATCCTGAGAGACTGCAAGGACCTCTAATGCCAGGTGAGGAGGAAGGCTAGCCTCTGGCCCATTGGTGCCCAATGTGGTGTTGGGTTGTGTCGAAGGAGGAGAAGCTAAAACAGGTGCACAGACATTTGTGGAGTGTTTGTTTTGTTTTGTTTTTGAGAGGCTATGTTTTTTTATTTGTTCTTTTTAGGTATACATGATAGTAGAATGTATTTTGACATCATACATGGAGTATAACTCCCTGTTCTTGTGGTTGTACATGATGTGAAGTTTCACTGGTTGTGCATTCATAGATAAACATAGGAAAGTTATATCCCATTGATTCTGCTGTCTTATTGTGGAGTGTTTTAAATACAGTACATACACGGGTGCAGAATGGCAAGGGGAAGCAAAGGGTGTCCTCGCCCTGCCTGCTGGGGCCTCTGACCTTGACCTGCACCTTCCCGTTCCTGACTGCTCACTGTTCTCACATCTAAAGGGTTTACCATAAAGTTTGCAAAAAACAAATTGAAAATTTTCAGTAATTTTCAGTTAACAAGTGTTACTGGTGTATTTGCATCTGGGTTTTTGTTTATCTTTTTATTTTGTCCTTATGCATCAGATATCTGTGTTTTATTCAAAAATGAGATTATATTTAAATTCTGTTTGACTCTTTCCTTTATATGTAGTGGACATCGAGTCATTTGAAGCATCGTTTTCATTGTTGACAATGTTCTGGTTCTTGCAAGGCTGTATTAACTTAAACAATCTCATTTAGATGAGCAGGTTATGTCCCAGGGTTTTGTTTTATTCCACTCAGGAAATAAAAGTTTTGATGATGTTCCATGTAAATAAAACTTTATCACATCTGTTGTTACTTATCCAAGATGAATATATATCTAGAAGGGAATGACTGTTGCTATACTTCTTAAAACTTTAGGTTCATGTTGCTGAGTTGCCCTCCAGGGAGGCATTTTCTAAATCAGTGTTCTCACAGCAGGAAACCAACTCCTCCACAGAGTGCATTTATGGTACTAAAAACCTTTGCTGCTTGGGTGGATCCAGATTATGTTACCTTTGGACATAAGTGTTGTTCTGCCTGTTAGTGAAATTGAACCTTTCTCACATGTTGACTGGCCTTTGGCAGTGTGTGAGTGACCACTTGAAGAGTGACCATTCTTCAAGCACTTGTTTTCCTGTTAGTTGTTTTGTAAATACTGTTTATATATTAAGGATACCAATGATCTTTTGTTTGGTACCAAAAAAAATTCTGGTTTCTAGATTGACTTTTATTTCAGATATAAAAAAATTTTCTGAGGTTAATCAAATCACTGTGATTTCTGCACTTGTTATGCTTTGATCTGTTCTACCGTGAGTATGTAAATATTAATCTAATTTTCCTGTGACAATTGAGTGGTTTCATTTTTACATTTAAACCTCTAAGTAGAGTTTTTGTGGAATCTTTTATGTGGTGGCTGGCCCTCAGAGCTTCCTTCTCTCTGGGATCAGAGGGATAATGGAGTAGCAGAGAGCCCTGTCAGCTTGTCAAAGAATTCCATGACCTCAGCATCATAAAAGAGCAATTGAATTCTTTTATCCTGTTGTTCTTATCCTGTATGATATTTACCAGTCTCCCAGGCTGGTAAACAGTGTTTTGACTGATTTAAACTGTGCTGCCATTGGCATTTCCACAAATTTGTTGTATATGTGTCATCTTCTCCAGAGAGGTGCAGCCTGGTCCTTGGTGATGTGGCTTTACAACACTCTTCACCCTTTCTCTTGTGAACATGTCTGTTTCCTTACATAGTTGCCAACATCAGGTTTTTTGAATTTTATGTATTGATTGCTACCTTAAAAAATTTTTGTTGTAAAATGCACATAACATAAAATACATTGCCTTAACGATTTTTAAGTATACAGTTGATAGTATTAAGTGTAATAGTGTTGGGCAATTACAGTGTCCAGAACTTTCTCATCCTGCAAAAAACGGAAATTCTATACTCAGAAAGCAACATGAAACTCGCCACTCCCTCTTCCCCACAGTGCTGGCAACAGCCATTCTTTCTGAGCTTGACCACTTAGATTCCTCCTGCAGGAACTCGGTATTTGTCTTTTGTGATTGGTTTATCTCACTTGGCACAGTGGGCTCAGGATTCGTCCAGGTTGCAACATGTGTGAGAATGTCCTATTTAAGAAGCTGGGTGATGTCTGTGTGCGCATCTCCTGTTCTGTTTGTTCACTTGACTGGCTGTGTCTTTCTTTGGCTGTTGTGAATAAGGCTGCTGTGGACGTGGGGTGCAATTTTTTCTTCAAGATCCTGCTTTCAGTTATTTCAGTAAATGCATGTGAGGTCATACTTTATTGTGCTTTTGATTTGCATTTCCCTAATGGTTAGTGATGTGAGCTTCATTTCATTTGCTAATTGGCCATTTGTTTATCTTATTTGAAGAAATGTCTATTCAAGTCCTGTCCGTTTTAAAAATTTGAGATATTATAATTGATGACTTGCCAGAGTTCTCTGTGTATTCCAGGTATTAACCCCTTATCAGCTGTGTGATCTGCAAATATTTTCTTTTCATTCCATAGTATTGCCTTTTCACAAGTCCTCTGATGCACAGCTGTTTTTAGTTTGTTTGTTTTGTGGTGCTGGGGAGGAAACCCAGGACCTCCTTATCTAAGCACGGGGCTCTGCTGCTGAGCCACACCCCAGCACAGAACTTTTTAGTTTTGAAGTGATCAGAATTTACCTTACTTGAGTTTTACTTTTGTGGCCTGTACTTTTGGTGTCACATCCAAGAAATCATTGCGAAATTCAACATTACAACGTATTTGATGCTACTTTAAAAAGTATTTTAATTGTCTTCATCTGTATTTCTGTAATTCCTGGCTGGTCTGAGTATTTTACCATTTGATACACTGTCTCCATTTTTTGACTACTTACCGGGAGATTTTCATAAGGATGGTGAATTCTTACAGTTGGGAAGATAAGCAATTGCCAGTCATGATTGTCAGACTTGCTCTCCATTTTTCCTTGTTGTTGATGCATAAGTATATATACTTTTTAAAAATGTTTCTTTAGTTGCAGACGGGCACAATACCTTTATTTTATTTTTGTGTGGTGCTGAGGATCCAACCCAGTGCCTCGCATGTGCCAGGCAGGCGCTCTACCACTGAGTACAACCCCAGCCCTAAAAGTATGTATTATACAAAAACCTGAAAAC